GATTCACAATTGATGCCTCATTTAAGGTCACACAAAAGTAAATCCGATTTAGCTGACTATGAGATCTTCTATTGTAGAGGACTTTGTAAGGAGAACTGGCTTGTATTCACATTACACATGGGGAAAAACCACAAAAAAAAACCAACCATGCAGCCAGCCTGTTCGGAAATAGAACAGAAGATGGAACTCCCAGCATTAAGTAACTTTAACCATTCAGCTGTTGGTGGGCCTAATTATTATTCGAAGAGACAAGCAGCAATTTTTCAGTGACAACTACTCTACTTTTTTACAGACAGAACTGAACAGCAAAAACTTCTTAAACTCTTGATTAGATTCTAATTTACTTTCTTCCTTTTAAAAGGAGATGCAAAACTTTGCCGCTGCTGCCTTTTATTTTGAAGAAGCTTCTTGAGACCAATTCCACGGGCAGTCAAATAATATTTTATTATCTTTGTTTTGATATTGCAACAGGAGGGAATATTTACCTCGCCTGCTTTCTTACAAATCATATTAACAAATTCCACATCCATAGTTACAGTTCCATGTATTATTTCGTCTCGAAAATTTTGAATTATTTTTTCACACAGAAGGCACAATTTAAAAATTTCTGGAGAAGGACATTTAAGCCCACCTAAATTTGCAAAATTAATTACGTACTGCTTATTTTCATCAATGGAAGGAGTATTTTGCTCACAAACTAAGAGAAACTGTGAGCATGAATTACAAGCATTTTTCAAAACAGAATTTATTGCAGCTCCTGCAATATAACAGACGTGATTTTCCTCACTAAGGGTGAGATTCTGTAGAGATGCATCAGAAACTTCTGGTATGGTAACAGGCTCTAAAGCTTTTTTCTCCTTCAGAAATTCAAATTCAGATTTCGCATAGTTTAATAAATAAATATCTGAATCAGTAAGCATAACTGGAGTTCTTAATGTCAGATATAAACTGAGATAAACAGATAAGCTTTAATGCTTTCACAGCTTGCAAAGCACTTGGCCTCAAACCAGCTTTTCTGCGTATCTGAGGAAGAAAATACATTTTCTAGAGCATCTTGTGTCAATCTGCTCGTCAAAATAAACTGAAAATCATTCAGAAAACATGCCTCTGCTAACTGTATGGCTGATAAAGTAGAGAGAATCAAACCAGTATGTAATGGTTTCCACCCTTTACCAATTTCTATAAGCTGTATAACATTAATAAATTCAAAAAGTAACTCAATTTTTTTGCTTTTATTTGTCACAGAAATTGAGTTCTTTCTACATCTAGAGGATAGCATTTGAAACCACAAACATATAAATCTTATCCATCATGCTGTTGTAAGAGCATTAGGGCTTATCTCTTTTAAAGCTACTGCCTTCTCCAATCCCACAACTGTTTTAATTTAAAAAAACTCACAGCAGAAGCAACATTCATTTTATCAAAATGTGAGGGGAAGAGGTCTTCTTTACTGAGATGATGCATAGTTCTCAAACCACAATTTTGGTTTGTTTCAGTAATCCAGATATCTTTTAATAAATCCTGCAGATACATGCAAAAGTAACAAATTTTTCTTTACTGCAAACATAACTGGGCAGTTTTATACTATGATTAAGAGTTGCAGACCAGAGATTTTTTAAAAGATGTGGCACATCTGCAAATACATAAATAATTTTGCCCTTAATTTCAGTAGTGAAATTGAATTTCTAATTGGAATTTCGAGAAACAGATATTCCCAAAGAATTCCACAGGCTTCTATTTACTGCTGCCATATCGCTAACAATACCAACAACATTAAATCCAACAGAAATGACAGCTTCGATAACATTGACAACAATTTGTTTCAGCTGGCATCCTGTTACCTGTCCAGTTATCTCATGGGCAACCACTTGCTTCCATTTCAGCTTCAGACCTCTTAGTAAAATAACTAAATAGTGATTTCCTGCATCCTTTTGATTTCCTAATGTACATTTACCAATAAATTTACATTTTGAAATATCAAAATCAGGATTGCCAGAAATCTCCATTTCATCCAATGATAAAATACAGTCTTTATCACTAGCATTCATTTTTTCTCCTTTAATTTTCAAAAATTCAATCATGTCACTGATGACTCCAAAATTCATTTCAAGACCTTGAAGTCTTTTATTTAAAGTGCTGTATGAAGGCACAGGAAAACCTATTCTGTGCAAGTAATTATAACCATGCTTGCCCAAAGACAAATCTAACTTTGAGGCCTTTTATTATTCCCTCGTTAGACCATTTTGCAATGCTTCTACGAGGAATTTTCAACATTGCTATTTGTTCATCTGAAAGGAAATGTTTTCACTCCTTTCAGCAATTCCTCATGCTGTACTTGAAGGTCATGAAGTTGAATTTCAGTGCTATGCCATTTTTTTAAAACATAATTTCATTTTTTTTTTTTTTTTTTTTTTTTTTGGTTGCTGTAAGTTTTTTCAGAAATAATTTATTTTGGCGCTGCAGAAGCGAGATCAATTCAGTCTGCTGTTTTATAATATTCCTTGAAAAACATCCTGGAATTAAGAAAAATCTATATGAACATAAATCATCAAAGAATAAACGACAAATAAACAAACAAACAAAAAACATAACACAACACAAACAAAAAAGATCTGAAAGGTTTCAGATTTTAAGTTACATCCAAAGGGGCTTTTTTTAACATTTTGTGAATTACCTGTATTTATTAAATATCAAGTTTTCGCACTTAAACTATAAAATTCAGTTCAACAGCAATATTGCAAAGATAATTTTAAAATGAGCATATCTTTAGAATTTCCGATACAGAGACTCACGCGCTGGAGATAAAAGTGTCTTTTCTGTACAACACTGCCATTGCTCGCTTTGAAATACTCAAGTTTGTTAATCAAAAATTCGTTAAAGTTTTACAACATATAAAATCTATATTAAAACAAATTCCGAATTTCAAATTTGGGCTTCCAGATGTCCATATTCACAGTAGAATTAAGTCATTCAAAATTTGATGGCTCTAGGTACCGTTGTTTTATCAGAATGCGAAAACATACATGCATTTATGCAGATTCTTCACTATATAATTTCTTTAAATATAGTACAGGGTGATAATATTTGGTGGCAACAATTTGAAAAGTGATGCAACCGTTTATAGTGTTTCAATACAAAACGAAAACAATAGTCCTTCAGGGACAAAGCCCCTTTGGATTAAATGCCAAACTTAAACAGATAATAAATCCACAAAATAAAAATGAAACTTCCAGGTCTCTTTCCCTATACTGTGGTGGGTTTTTAAATTTGACTCTATTGTTTTCAGCATTTTCTAGATTATTTTTGTTTTATTTTCTAATATTTAAAATTTATTTCACTTAAAAATAGATTTTTAAAATTTATTTCCAGCTTTTCAAGGGATCGATTATCTCCTGTAACAGCTTTAATATCGTTATTAATCTCTCGTGCATTTGAAATAGATAAATAATAAATAATGTACAGATTACTGGCAATATTGAAATGCAGGCTCAAGAGCTGCATGCATTTTCTCGCACGAAGCATGTAATATTTTTTTTTTTTAAATAAGTTTATAGAATGTTTTCTCTTCTTGTTTGTATGTCGCCATTTTTTTTTTAGTTTTAAATAAAAGTTATTGCTGTGTTCCATCATTGGAGTTGCTTCATTTCGCCAAAGAAGTATCACAGTCTTAATTATTTTGGAGGCACCGACCGAGATCGAATAATCGTGCATATTTTTATTTCATTAGTTCATCACTGAACATAATATTAGTGATACCAGATTATTACTTCCTGTTAATATTGAATTGCTTTATTTTATTAGTTCATCACTGAACGCAATATTAGCGATACCAGGTTATTACTTCCTGTTGATATTGAATTGCCTTATTTTATTAGTTCATCACTGAACGTAATATTAGTGGTACCAGATTATTACTTCCTGTTGATATTAAATTGTCTTATTTATTAGTTCATCACTGAAGTAACTTCCTGTTGATATTGAATTGTCTTATTTTATTAGTTCATCACTGAACATAATATTAGTGATACCAGGTTATTACTTCCTGTTAATATTGAATTGCCTTATTTTATTAGTTCATCACTGAACGTAATTAGTGATATCAGGTTATTACTTCCTGTTAACACTGAACTGCCTTATTTTAATCGTTTATCACTTGAACGTAAACTTAGTGATACCATTTTAATGCCGTTTCTACTAGAGCTTAAAGGAAAAGAAAAATAGCTGAAGAGCAGATCTTGGAACCGATGAAGGAAGAAAATAAAGCATCCAGAGATGTATTTGAAAGAAAAGTTAAATCACCAGAATTAAACGTGGAAGATGTTCATGAAAATTGAAAAACGATAAAGAAATTAATATTGAGAATCATTTTGCAATGCAGCGTTATCATCATCTTTCGGCTTTTGATTTAATATCAAAGCCGATACTAAACACAACGAAGAAAACAATTGTCGAAAGCAAATGACAAATGAATATTATCCGAAAGGCACAGATGAACTGAGGAAAGGCTTTGCTGTGAATTATAGCCAAGGAACTGGTCCACCATGGAAGAGATCTAGGCGCCGTCAAGAAAAAAAAAGGAAGACTAATTTGAACACTGTCCATTTTTTTTCTTATTTAAATGTGGTTTGTAAAAATATTTGTTTAAAACTTAAAATGTTTCGGTCTGAAATTTGGCAAACTTATAAGAGAAATTACCTTTTCTCTTTAAGCATTTGAGCAAGCCTCAGCTTATAAACTTGTCAAATTTTACAGAACTTTTCCCTTCGGAAAAAGTCTCTCCGTTGGGGGAGAGGTTGTAACAGCTTTAAATCGTTATTAAAATCTCTCGTAGCATTTAGAATAAGTAAGATAAATAGATGAACAATAAATGTACATGATTACTGGCAATATTGAAATGCAGGCTCGAGAGCTGCATGCATTTTCTCGCACGAAGCATGTAATTATTTTTTTTTTTAAATAAGTTTATAGAATATGTTTTCTCTTCTTGTTTGTATGTCGCCTTTTTTTTTTTTTTTTTTAGTGTTAAATAAAAGTTATTGCTGTGTTCCATCATTGGAGTTGCTTCATTTCGCCAAAGAAGTATTACACTCCATAATCATGAGCAATTTAATAACACAAATTATCAACTTATATCACAGCCTTCACAAATGCTGATGAAATTAATTAAAATTAATTACAATTTGGTTGCAAGATGAGACTAAAGGTTGTTTTTGCAAACAAAACTGAAATTTACATAGAGAATTTGCAACTATTGATGAAATTAATTACATTCCTTTTACCAAAAAATTACTTTATAGAACATTTTAAATGCATATAAGGAAGCAATTTAATTATACATTAGTTATCAACTTACATCAGAGCCTTCACAAATAGATGGTATTTCATTGCAAAATGAGGCTAAAGGCTGTTCTTGCAAACAAACCTGAAATGTACACAAAGAATTTGTAAATGCTGATGAAATTAATTACATTCCTTTTACCCCCCCCAAAAAAGTTTATAGAAACGTTTTGTATAAGCAAGCAATTTAATAATACACTAATTATCTACTTACATGAGATCCTTCACAAATAGATGGCATTTTATCACAAGATGAAGTTGAAGCTTGTTCTTGCAAACAAACCTGAAATATATATATAAGAAATTTAGAAATACAGATAATATAAACTACATTCATTTTAAGAAATAATTATTTTACATAACATTTTATAATTCATAAATAGATAATAAATTGTTAACACTCAAAATTCAAAAATAATTCCATAGCACAACAGCCAGATATAGTACAGCTGTTTAGCAACCATAAGACAAACAATTTCATATTTCAGAAATCGTATAAAAATTCATTAATATATGTAAAACATATGACATTTAATAGCTGCTCAAATGAAAACATAGAATAGATTCTTTACTAGCAGCTGTTATTTAATCAGAAGGTAATGCTAAATGTTGTTGCAAACACACCTGAGATGTACTGTAATGTACACATTTGCAACCACTGGTGAAATGAAATAAAGTGCATGATTATGAAGATGGAAACATTTAAAAAAAAACATAGTACAGTTTACGAATAGATGTTAAAAAACTATTAAAATTTTTTAGAAGTGCAAAATGGCAATTTACATCAGATACTTCGGCAGCAAAATTTATTTCTCCAAAATATGAAGCTGAAGGTTGTGGCAAATGAACCTAAAAGAAATTATAATATATGAAATATGTGGAAGTGAAAGAAATTATAAACTCTGATCGGATAAAAAAATAATACAAATAATCATTACCATTTTAAAAGTCAACTTATAAAAAAGCATAAATACATTGGACTGTTCATAGCATTCATACTTCTTAAACATAAGTAAATATTACGTTAATATATTTTTAAATTTTAGAAACAGTGTTAATACTTTTAGAAAAAGTTTATAATACTAAATATTTAATAACTGTTCAAATGAAGACTTACAACAGATGGTTCAGCAACAGAAATCGCTTCAGTTGATAAAGGTAAACTGTGCAGCAAGCCACCCTGAAGATGCAAAAATTATGAAACACATATAAGTAAGGATACCTGAAAATGCTGATAAATAAAATATACTTAATGTAATTTTAATAATAAATAATATAAATAATCCTAATAAGTTTTGTAAATCTTTAAACAAAAAATAACAACATTCAGACAAGACATATAAGACATTAAAATATACATTTAAATCAATGTATTATAACTATATTATTGTATTACTCAAGATTAAAGTTATTAATTTCAATATTATTTCTTTTACTTATACATATTTCTCTCTATTTATCTGGAATACATATTTCTCTCTATTTATCTGGAATTTAAAATTAAGCAAAAAAGCAACTTTAGTTTAATACAAATTTTGATTTAAACTCTTTTGACTTTGAAGGCAATCAGATACGGTTTCTTTCTTTTAGGAGCAAATTTGAAGAAACCAGACCCATGTATGACCGTCCTCGAAAAACTACAAAAACTTTATCCAAAAACTACATCAAATTGAGGTTTTATGCTTAATTTTCAATATATGATTATAATAACAAAGTACATACTTAATTATATATATAACAACAGCAAAATTTTAATTTTTTAATCTAATCTTAGGGACTGTAATTACAGCTTTATCACATAATGCCTTAATTTCAATATTTTGATTCTTTTATAAAGCAATTTAGTCCATTTGTAATAAAAACATATTTTTTTATGAAAAACCATAAAAATAAAAAAAACACATACATTACAAAAATTGGATGTAACTGAACGGTGCTTTGGTAAACCAATGCCTTTTAGACGCTGTGGGGTCAACAGTTGGGGGGGGATTAGGCACATTGAAAAGAGTTGGCACAGCATTGGGCTTGAGTTTTTTACGCCCATCTTGCCTAGAGCATTCAAATTGATTTTCTTCAAAATGTACCTGCATATTTAACAAAAGCATGCATGAAATTTAACATTAAAATCAAAAGCACTAGTATTTAATTACAGTTACATATATTAATTTAAGAATGTAATTTTCTGATAAATTTAATTTTTTTTTATGAAAATAGAACAAAATTTTTAAAAAGTAATCATGTTTGTAAAACTACTTAAAACATATTTCCTGCTCACACACTAAAAATAAATTTAAAGGACCTATAGTTAAAAATACATTAAGATTTACTACTACAATAAAGGATAATAATGGGATCAAAACGATTCATCGAATATTTAAATTAATATTTAACTTCTTAAAAATGTCTAAAAATACAGAATATATTTATTACTATAAAGAAAAAAAAAAAATTTTTATTTGTCTAAAGGCTGAAATCAGGCATTCGCGCTCCCAAGTGGGAGATTTAATGGCGGCTGAGTAGTTACGGTGCAACAATTTTTTGTGTTTTTTTTGTGTAAAATGGGCGGATGTACAGCTATTAATTGTTCAAATCATTCACGGAAAGGTCATACATTGGTAAAATTTCCTAAAAATGAAGAAGAAAGAAGAAAAATATGGGTAAATAATTGCCGAAGAGACAATTGGAAACCTGGTCCAGGCGCTGAACTTTGCTTAGTAAGTATAATGTTAATTACGCCTTCATTTAGAGTTTAAAGCTTCTCTGATGTTTATAATGTGCAAGTAAAGTGAAATTCTTGTGTACAATAACCTGAGTATCTGCTAATTTCTGTAATAATAGCTATAATTAAATTAGTCTAGGGTTAATGTACCCGTCGCCAAACATCGCCAATGTAGATGGAAAAGAAATTTCTCTTCTAATATAAAGCGCGGATTTTGTTTTCCTGTGCTAATTGTGGAATTTATACTAATGTAACATGAAAATCATTAGCATATTGAAATTTATTAAAAAAATAAATAATAATTTGGAAAGTCAAGATAAAATCTGAATGTTTGCTAAAGATATATGTAACATTATACTATAGTCGCAATATCGTTGGAATGATATATAATTTTTTTCTTTATTTTATAATCACTATTGTTAAAAAGTTAGATGAGTTGTTTATGCACGGTGCCCACTACTGTTTCTTGGTTAAAATAACTTCCAGAATTTTGACATTGACATCTGAAGTCAATAGAATAAATAAATTGAATAGTGTGAGACAAAATATATATAATCTGACTTCAATAATTGCAAGGATTGTGCAAGTTTATTTATAATCACAGTATTATACAATTTGGCAATGGAGTAAAGATTTAGAAATGAATGCAGAACATTCAAATTAGTATTTTCTTGTTTCTAATATATAGAAATATAGTCTATTTTCCAGTATAAAAGTTTTACTTAAAAGTATGGGAAAGCAGATTTGTTTCATGCATGATCTTTATAATACTGGTATGAAATGAATGAATTTTAATCTGTAAACAATTTTTTGTTAATATTGAAATGCGTTTCTTTGGGTACATTTTTAGGCACTTGTGGATCATGTCAGACAACATGCAATAGAAAAAAGATGTCCGTGTGCATAAATTTTCCCATTGTGTTACTTCATTTTATCTAAATTTCAAGGATAATTCTTTTCATTTTTATATGGCATGTTATCAGTATAAAGGCTAGTGAAAATAAATTGGTATGTGTATCTGTTTTTGAAGTGTAATGCTTAAATAAAAAGATGGTGTGTGTTTCTTCATTTAAACAAAATTTCAAGGATAGTATTTTTCAGTGTTGTACGGTTTGTTATTTCTCAATGTAAAGTGTAACAAGGGGAAAAAAAAACTGGTATGGTATATCTGTTTTTTAAGCATGATAATTTTATTTATTTCTTTAGTGATGCATATATATAGAGAGAAGGTGTTTGGTCCAACTGAAGTTATAATAAATCTAATTTTACTAGATCTCTCCCTCCCCTCAGGTGTAGAAAATTTTCAAGTGCAGAAAGTTTATTTGCAGAATTAATTCATTTCTGATAAACTTATTATCATTAATTTTTTATATAACATGTTATTAAGTTACACATTTGACTACTGTGTAATAAAATTGTATTTAGGGCAAAAAATTAACTATAATTTTGCATCTGGTGACTAATATCATATGCTTCTAAGAATATTACTTTAACTTTTTCCATAATTTTTGTATTTCAGGAACATGAAACTGTTATTTTGATATACTTAAATAATAAAAGTGTGTATCTGAATCAATTAATGGATACAAATATTTTACAGTTATTTTTAGAAGATATTTGCCATATCGCTTCTAATAATTCATAAAGTATGTTAAAATATAGGTAAATAATTTGGTGCAGAATTCAAATTTAGGGTTTAAAATATAGTGAATCATAAGACTAAATGATTTTTATTGTCATGATTTGCCTGGGCTTAAGAATGTACTTTTCGCCCGGTGGAAATTGTCATCAAACTGTCCTGAACAGGCTTTTTGTTGATAATAACTTCCAGGCTTATCAGTACCTCCTTTTGAGTGGAGGGTATGCAAATATAGTACCCAATTTAAATTACATTGTGATTGTAATAATATTGTGGTATTAAATAAGTGATTATAATTACAATTTAGGTAATTGCATTGTAATTATATTACATTGTATCTGTGAACTCTTAATTTCATTACTTTATGCAATTATGTTGTAAGTGCATAATCTAATTGCAATAATATAATCTATTCGCAATTACAAAATAATTATAAATGCAGTTACATCTTAAATAGAGGCCATTTTAATACTTTTAAATTTTCGCAAGATAACTTCCCATTAAGGTTCATTTGGAGGAAACTATGCAAATACTAAAAAAGAAGTTATGCTAAATTTACATATTTTGTACAGTACTTTCTTGTTATAATGCTGTTCAATATATCTTCAATACTTTTGTAAATTTAACGACATTCTTTGCAATCACTGTGGTGCTTTAAAAAGAAGTTTCTTAGTTATGCTTTCTAATAAGAATGGGTTTAAAATTAAGTATTATGTATAATAACTAGCAGTTAAAAAAACTTGACTGCATGAAAATGCTGTTGCTGTGTAAAATAAAAAAATAAGCTTTCTTTTATGCTTTGAAATGAATTACATGTGGTTAAGTCGTCCTTTTACAATTTAAGAATGTGGTTAACACACATTCTTAAATTGGACAGGTTTTATCTAAATTATTAGTATAAAATATATAAACTATGAATTATTTTGTAACATAACTCAAATTACAAAATTCATTCTATATACGTTCAAAGTTATTATCTTTTATGGAATAACTGTTTTTTAATTTAGGTAAAAATTGGATTTTTAGAAGTATTACAAATACAATGCAACACAAAGGTGATCTGATTGAAGAGGAAGGACTTTTTATTACGGTTTCTAGTTCGTATTTATATTACATTTGATGAAAAGCATCCAAAACACAGAATGCTGTACTTTCTTCTTCCATATTATGTTATGAAATATTTCACACATTTAAAAGAAAGTGTTTCTTCAGAATCTTGCACAATTATTTCCATGTACCTCAGACTTAAATGACAACATATTCTTAAGTTATTTTTTTAGTATGAATTTACAGTGTTTTTATGGAAATTTTTGTTAAAATGTCATTAAGATAAATTTATTTGCACACTCTACGCTTTAACTATTTCCCCATTTGACACTATTGAAAGTTTTTATTCATATCTTATTTATTATAGTCTGCTAACGAAACTGAAACATCTAAAGAATAAGTTATTTTGAATATGTTTACAAAATATACGCGAAATTTTTATTTAAGTGAAAACGTCTATATACTATTCGAGAATTAATAAATTATCCGAAAAGTTTATATGCGCTGAATGCCGCGCGTCTATAAAATAAATCTTTAAAAAAACAGCAGACATTCAGCCAGCGTGTGCGATAAACGCGCCAAAATTGGCAGCGCGTTCACTCCCTCGCCAAGAGAGAAAGTTGTGATCAGCCAGGAGCTATTAGGGCCCAGTTTTTAATTGGCGAAAATCCGTTTGGCGACTACATCGAACAAAATATCGACTTTAAATACCAATGTACTAAAATAAAGAAAAAAAAAGCCACACATTCAATGACACAGTTACTGAAATGTATGATACAAATTTACAAACGGTATAAAACTTTTCACGATAACAAAAGAACAACGATATTTTACTGCACAACACATACACATTCGCAGTTGATTTTGTACTTATAAAATCAGTTGATCGTCAATAAGTGACAGTTAAATGAAAATACATATTTTAAAGTACCAAGAAGAGTAATTTTTCTAACATTTTATGGAAAAATACGAAGCTGAACTTACCTCACAAAGATACGCTCCTGGGCCCGGGATCCATTGATCTCGACGAGAATTAACTATCCATTTTTCGTCTTTCTTCATTTCTAGGGAAACGAAACATCCTAAAGTTATTTTGAGATGATTCGAACAATTGGTGCAGCACCACCACCCATATTTCTGAAAATTAGGTCGAAATCGATCCACAAATATGTCAACAAATCAGTGCAAATCCAATAGCGAATACCAACAAGTTAGCTTCAAAATGGATGATGATTCAGCTCCCCTTTATAGTAGCCTTAGTTGTGTCTTATGTGTTGACTTTTTGTGTCTCTGAAAGCTCCAAATTTGTTTTGTCCTCCTTCTCCATAAAGAAACCTCATCAAGTCCCCTCATCAAGTCCTGCTCAAGGGTCGTTTGCCAACGTGGTTAATTATAAAGATTTTTTAAACTGGATCAAGAAAGTTAATTTACGGAGTGCGCTAGGCCTTTAACTCCACATCATCAAAGATAAAATAATTACATCAAAAGAGGGGTTCAACTAATTCGGGAAAAATTTAGAAGCCTAATTTATAAAAATAATAGCTTTTCAGGTTTGAAACTGGGGCATCGATTAAATGCGTGGTTAAATTTAAAATTTTTGCGTGTAGATTGGCAATAGCTTATTTTCAAAATATTTAAGTATGATGGCGGGTTCCGTTGCGTCTGGTAGTCCACATTCGTATCAAGTTTTGCTTGTAAGTTTGTGTTTGTTACAAATCATTTTTTAAATAAGATTAACGAAAATCAATTAAATTTATATTTTGAACATTATTATTATTAATCGGTTTATTTGAAGATTTTATTTTAATTCTCTTACTTAGATAATGATTTCTTTTCTTGTTTCGCATTGCATATCAGTAGTGTAATTAAAGTTTTAATTTCTAATTTTTGTTTTTTAGAACTTTCTGCATTGGCCATTTTCCTTAATTATCTTACATGTTTTGTGCTGAGAATCAAGTGATTATGACTTCTGATGCTTAAATTACCGTGTTTACTCGCGTAATAGTTGCACTCCCATTTTGAAGCAGCAAGAGGAAATAAGTTGGGCTCTAGTGTGGAATTGGGTGCCCCAACATCTAGGCCAGACATGGCCAAACTGCGGCTCATGAGTTACTTGCGATCCTTTGCCATCTGATATACAACTTATATCTTCTTGCTGCTTCAAAATGGGAGTGCAACTATTACGCGAGTAAACAAGGTAATTTAAGCATCAGCAGTCATAATCACTTGTTGAAAGATGTCATAAATGCTGCAAGATATCCTACAAAATACTAATAGTCAGATTTCATTAAAGTATATGAAGACTTTTATGATGCTCATAAAATAATGTATTTTTGCGAAAAGAAATTTATAGATATTGTTAAAAAATTCTCATTCTCAAATATTAATTTTTATTAATGAATAAAACAATATTTCGCTGAAACTCGTAAGTGTACAAACACTTTAGAGGGCTACTGTGTATCGTGGAGATATTGAACTGAAGTTTTCCCTCTTTGCCCTATATTGTCAGGTATGGAAGAAATGTATTATTTAAACAATGAACCTGAAAAAATTATGTTTTACTACTACTGTTTATGTTCGAAAGTTTCAGACAATAAATTTGTGTCATCACTTTTGAACAGCTGTGGTTCATTCCTCATCACACTTGTTTATTATACTGTAATCTGTGATTTTAGATAATCCTTTGTCTTGTTATTTTGTAATTTTGTTTTTTTACTGATACTAAAAAGTAAGCAAAATCATTATTTAATATTATATACACATTATTACTTAAAATTAAAAGTGTATTGTTTCTATCGGTAAAGATTAAAAATCCTTGCATTTCTATGTACATGTATCCTTGAATTGATCCATGCATCCTTGAATTCTATGTATCAATTGAAGTGGCACTTAATGCTATGGGTGAAAAACAAGCCACTTTACGAACAGCATATCAGCTTTATGCGAGACAAGTTAACTGAACAAGAATCTGAAATAAGTAGTTCTCTTTCTGAAAATATCGATTTGTACATCAATAACAGAATCAACAAAAACATCATAGATTTGATGAATTCACTAAACAACTTAAATAAAACGCCATCAAAAGCTTCTACAGAACTAGCAGCTGCTTTGATGAAGCGTTTATTTCCGTCACCAGATTCATCACCAAATTCATCGATGTATATGTATCCTTGCATATGTATGTATATGTATTTCTATGTGCTATCCTTGTATTTCTGTATGTACTGTAGGCGGCAACAAATTCATCTCTTTACCAAAACAAGTTTCAACACTGTTCAGGTAAAAGCACTGGTAAAAGTAAAAGCATTATTTTACTGTATATATTTATGATCCTTTTATTGTTTAACTTTACTTATCTGTAATACAATTACAAAAGTTTTAGTTTTTATGTACTTAAAAAGAAGCGGTTTTATGACACCAATAAAATGTCTTCTAGGATTCTTAAGAAATATGTTGACAAATAAATTAAAAATAAAATTCAGAGCAAAAAACATTTTGTATGTTTATAAATATTTTGTGTGTTTATTATTATTAATAACATATTTTGTATGTTTATTATGAGCTCGAAAGCCCGTTGGGCTTTGATTCGAGTATCGAGTACAGTAAAAAGTCTGTAATCCGGACTCGTCGGGACTTCGACGATTCTGAATTAGGGGTTTTTCCGGATTATAGATCATCAATTTAAATCTGGTAAGATGACATGCAGAAATTATACAGTTAAAAATATGAAACCGTAATTTATGAAATAAAGAGCAATTATGATCCAAATGGTATCACATTTTACAAAAAAAAAAGCTTAATATTTATTTGTTTACTTTATTAAACATTTCTTTCAACGTGCGCATGCGTAATGTATGCGCATTCTTTACGCACATGCGTAAAGTTTGTGTCTTTGAGGTTCGTATTATAGATCATTCCGGATTACAGACCTTGTACTGTACTCAAAAATGACCAAAAATTGTTGAGTATCAAGCTCGAGCCCAAACTCTACATGTAATGGTAAAATACGGGATGGATTCATTATGCTTACGGTTTGTATGGCTGCCAAATGGAGTTGGGAAGCTTGTTTTCATTGATGGTGCTATAAAGCCCATAATGTATTTAGATTTGCTAAAAAAAATCAAAAACTGCTAAGAAAAGTCTAAATGTAAGTTAGACTTCGGTAAATTTCATATTTCAGCAAGGCAATGACTCCAAACATACTGTTCTTGAAAATATGGTATCTGTATCATTGTGTGTAGCAACTTCATACATTTTCCTGATTCCGAACATTTTGGCATTGAAAATGTCTGATACTTGAAAAAAACTCTGTAGCAATGTAAAATAATAAGCAAAGATTATTTGAAACATGCTGATCAAGAAGAATGGGACAAAAGAGCTTCAGATACAACTAAAAACCTGGCCAAGTCTGTGCTATGACATTTCAAAGCAATAATAAAGGCTAATGAGCATGCAACAAAATATTAGCACTTTCTTATTTATTAAAAGCAAAATATTTTAGTATATTCTCAATTATTTAAGTGCAAATCTTTAGTTTAAATACCACACAGTTTTATTTTCAAGGATTTTTCTTTCAGTTTCCTTTGTTATTATCAGAAAGGAAATTATTTACTAAGTGTATAAAATAAAAACCTCGTTGTACTTATTAATTAAGTGCTTACATTTTAACGCACCCACCTTGGCATACTTTGGAAATTTTTGATAGAGTAAAAGGAAAAAATTATTTATCTGGTGCAAGCTAGTGATTTCTTGGGACCTTTTTTTGGTACTTACGTATTAACACCATCGCAGCTGCTGATTTGGTGGTTTTTAAGTGCCAGCCAAACTATGACTAAAATTTTTGCAACAAATCATAAATTAAAACACTTTATTTAAAAACAAAGTAGTCAATCGTATTTGGGTGGAAAATGGGCCGATAAGAGTTTAACATAAATTCAAAACAGTCTCTATTTTCTTTGACCTGATGCTGTCGCCATATGAACTCTGATAAATAAGATTCTAAATGATGTCTCACTGTCCTCCTATGTCTCTTGTTCCTCCATTTAGCACTGCCCCACATCCTCTCAACTGTATGTGTATGAACTCCTGTATCAGGATCAATAAAATTGTGATTATGATTAACTTTAGCATCTAGGAATCCTCCTTTTTCTTTGTTGGTAACCTTTTCAACTGTCAGAATAAATTGTGCTACCATCTACAATGTTTTCAATAATTTTATTAAGAAGAGTAGAGTGCTTTATTGGTGCATCAGTGCAACTTCTGCTGCGGTTGCATTAATACCTAAGTGCAGTGGTATTAATATGCAAGTACCCCTTTTTAAGTAAACAATTCCCAAACTGAAATATCATAAGTCACCCAACATTATAGACATATCAAAAGAAAACACATTTTAACAATTTAAGATAAAAAAATTGAATTAATAAATAAAGATGGTATAATAAAGTAAAAATGAAAAAGTCTTACAATTTTCATAAAATCTTATTGCATTTTTTTGCACTATTCTTCTCTGCATGTACACAGTGATCTGCTTTTGCTTAATGAACATAAGAGAACTGCATAAACTCAGCATTAAGCACCAGGTATCTATCAAATAAATCTCTCACATTGTTTCCTTCAGCAATTTTGCAGCAAATACTGTATTTCTGCAAAATGTTTTCCTGTTTCTTTTTTTGGAAGCAAATTCCATAAGTTCATACTTGAAAATTCAGTTTAAGTGGAAATAAATCAAGATTTATCTATAAAAACCGTTGAAATTTCAAATAGAAGAAGAATGCAGATGAAAATGGCAATGTTTGCTTGAGTGAAGGATGGTTATAAGCATAGATGGCCAAAGAATAGTTGTGCTCGTGTTTGCTAAAATTTGATGTTCTGAAATTCTGGTGACAGCTGCTAAGGTTGTTGAGATAATATGTAAGTAGCATTAATTATTATTCTAATTTCTGATTAACCATATCCCCTTCCCAAAAAGTTGTCAATCGTTGGTGACTAATTTTTTTCCAAGCTAAGATGCAAAAGACAATAGCCATTTTCAAAAATGGTGGAATACTAAGAATTACATAAAACAACAGCCAGTCAACAAAATTAAAAATGCAAGAAGCCTGTTTTTTGCACTATTCTTCCCATGAACATGAGGATCTGTTTTAATTTAAAAAAAAAAAAAATGAGATTAGTAGAAACTTGGCTTTGCACACCATTTATTACTGCACACACTGTTGATTCTTCCTGTATACATACCGATCTATGTGGAAAAAATATTAGAGAATTACATAAAATTGGCATCAACAAATGAATTTTCATGTGTTTTATTACCAATATTTTTTGTTTTTTCAATTTTACTGGTTGATTATTCTTGTATGGAATACTTAGTGTGCCACCATTTTGAAAATGGCCTTTGCTGTCCGCACATTAGCTTGGTGAAAATTTAGTTTGGGAATAAGTTTGCAAATGCTCTTGAAAGTTGGCAATGGGTTTGCAGCTTTTTGGTGAAGAGGGGGGGGGGGATAATTAGGAAATATCAATGATTTAATTAAGTAAGCAGTATTATCTTGAATATATATATGAACACAACAAATATTCAATGATGTACTTATGTTAAAAATATTCTTTTTACAAAATATGTGTTTAACAAGTAAAAATGTAAATGATAAAGAAAAAGATATTTTTGTTTGTTTGAAAAGAAACTTATATGAAATTTAAGTGATTTGGTAAATAAATATAAGTAAACTGTAAATGTGAGAAAACAATTCCCAATACAAACTTTTGGTACTTCCTAGTTAAAATGGCCATGATGTTGGCAATATGGAATATTTGGTGGAATTTAAAATTTTTAAATTATGGAATAAGCAATATGCTGTATCTTTAACCTCATTTGGCCCTTTTTTTTTAATGCAATTTACTGTTATTACAAATGACAAATGATTTTGTGTATTTGAAAACTCTTATTGTTTTAAAATCTTTGTTTCTATTTTTAAATTCTTTCAGGCAAATTTCCAAACTGCACTGACTTATACATTGGCTGAAAGATGTGCTCATCTTACGCAGCTTCTTCAAGACTCACCATTGAAGGTATTTTTGTATTTTAATAATGAATAAGTTATGCTTTTTATCTTAACATTCTTTACTATAATATCTTAATAGAAATTCATAAACCTTAAATTATATTCGGTATTCTTGGCATTTCTGTAGTATCTTATAAAGTTTTTGGTTTTTAAGTGTACACAAGTGAATGGTAAATGTTATTACAAATTAATATAAAACAGGCTGATTGAAATAATCTTGTTTCATAAAATGCAACTTTAATTGTTTTTAAAACTAAAGATTAAAATTTCATTAAAAAGCAATTAATTATCATTAGAAAAAACAATTACATAGCTGCATATAAACTTCTGTTACCAGTTACTGAAATGATAAAAGCGCTATTGAGAAAGTAACTTTTCAGTTAAAGCTATGCCACTATCACTTGCCCCCCCTTTTTTAAAATTTTAATAGATTTTACCATTTTATATTTGCCAAGAGGTGAACCAGCTATTTCTGGTTCTTTAAGAAAAACATATTCTTCTCAAAGAAAGACTATGTTTTTGTAATCACTTCATGGAATTAAAATGTGCCTTGAAACCGAAATGCAGCCATCATTCACACAGAGAAGAGAAAAGTTTCAAACATAAACATGGTTTGTTGGATCAGGCATTCTTTTACCTACTGCTTATGCAACAAAACTTTGGGAATTAATGAAAGCTTATTCATAATCAGAAAAGAATAACAAAAATGATGTTCTTTTCCCACAGGGAGGAACTTTGAAATTTCAACATTGGTTTTACAGGTTGTACTCCCACTTCATCAAGTGTGCAACTTCACCTTGTTTTGAAGCAGAACATCCTAAGGGGCAGTTCAAATGTCTCCCACTTCTGTTACCCTACCACAAAACCTCTTTAGAGGACTTTTGCCTCATCTTATGTTTTGAGTGCCTTCTTGCCTCACAAACACTGTTTGCTTACAAATATCCATGCCCTCTCCAGGATTGTAACCCAAAGCCACTGGTATGGCAGTCAGTGTCACTAACACAAAATTAGAGCACTTTTCTGGCCATTATATTTCATCTGGTATCAAGCCAAAGTGGTGGGTAAAGAAATAAGCCAAAATGCACCAATAATGATGCTGTAAATGTGTGGTAATGAAAAAATATCTCTTTTAATTGCTGATGAAAAAGTATTTATATGTCAAAATAAACTGCTTTTGCTTGTTTTCTTATTTGTATTGCCTGGTTATCAACAAATGAATTGAATTTGGTAACCCTTAATCATTGTAGTCAGACTATCACATTTTGATAAATCAAATAGTAAAATACTAGTGGCATGAAATTGATGTAACAAAATTTTTAATGCGCCTTCTTGTTGGAGAAACTTAATTGTTATTAAAAAGAATTCCAATGTATCACATTTTTCTCTGTCTTTAATGTTATTTTAAACTTACAAGGCACATGTAACAGAAAATCTCAAGCAATAATAAATTTGTAAATAAATAATAGAAAATAAGAATATTATTACATACACGATAAGAAAAATATGCAGAATAATAGAAAAACTGAAATATGATAAAATAATGAATATTATTTTTTATGATAATATTGTAATTGAGTTTTCTTCTTGTAGCTACATTTGATTGTTCTATTCTGTAAGTGGGCAGTTATTGAGTTGTGAATGTGTATTAAGGACTTGCTAAAATTTTCTATTAATACTGTACTTTTTCTTTCAGAATACAATGTTTCTGGCTAAAGCAAATATTTGGCATTTTTAATTGCCAGATATAATTAATATAGTGAATATGAAGTAAATATCTTTTTTAAAAATGTATATTCAATTATAATTTTGTATTTCTTTATATGGTAGCTTGGGGGTGTTTTATTATTAAGAATTTCATAATTTGTTGCAATAAATAACATTTTTTTGTCACATGTAGCATTCACAGCATTGCTATAAATTTCAGTTTGGATTCTTAGCCTAGTGTGAATATAATTCTTTAAGCCAATTTATTTCAAACTTAAACTGATTAAAATCTTTTTTTTTTTTTTTTTTTTAATTTTCTTCCACAAAAGTCTCCTCTACCCTTAAATTGTCATAAAATAAAGGTAAGAAATATCCTTCCCATAGCCAGGTAACCCTTGTGTACTGTGCCATGTTCAAATAACCTAATCTAACTTATCTCGGATGATAATATCAGCTTGATATAAATGTGGTGATTCAGATGGTTGACCATACAAAACGTAGCCACATCAATGCCAAACTTGAAGAAAGATTTCTGCTGATTTAAGTTAATCATATAAATGAATGCAGACAATACTTTAATTATTATACTTTTTTATATTATAAATACATTTCTGACATTTAGAATTCAGAAATTGATTGGAAGTCTTGAATAATGAAAATAGCTTCCTTCCCCCCTCAGTTATTATTTTGAGCCTCTAGTTGTTTGCTTACTAATTTTACATAAAAGTATTACAAGTTATGCTTCTAAAGGATTTATGTAAAACTTTCAGAGCTCAAGATTAGAAATAAATTTCTTTATGAAAGGTTCATGTAAAAGAAACCAGGCAACACCAATATGTTTTGGGAAATTGAATCTATATGAAATCTGGTATCACCCACAGGGGCTCAGTTCTTAGGAGTACAGTTGTGGCAATCCTGAGTTGCTCTAACCCTCCAAGGGATCACCGTCTTTTTTAATACAGGAGTCACAATCTTAGAGCCAACTCTCCTAATCTCTTCCTTTTGTACTTTTTTTTAATCCCTTCAGATTTTCCTTTTTGGAGGCTGGAATGATTATGGGAAAGCAGGGAAAAATTTATGTGGAACCCTAATTGACCAACTAACTGAAGATCATGACCTCTGCTTATTTTATAATAAACAATGCATCCACTTCCATGTACCTTCAAAGATATTTTACTATATGTTCGCTATCTCTGTTGAAAATGGGGTAAAAAGCTATGTGATAATGATCACTGTCATATTTTTGTTTCTCTCTCAGACAATAGGTCAACTTTTAGTCATAGACGTGCATGTTACGTTTTGAATAAAGCTGATCATGTAACTCATGGAAGAGATGGTGAGAAATGTGCTTATCAGTGAAGCAGTGGAAAGCGTTACTGTTTTCATTATTCATTCAGCTGCTGTTCCCATACCTGTAGCTTAGCTTCAAAGATACTCAAAAGCATGGTGAAATCACAATTGCTATGAAACCATGAAGCAACAAAGAAGAGCATGGGGAGTCTGTGAAACAAATGCATTGCTATGACTGAAGATAATGACTTAATGCTTGATATTCAGTCTGAATCGCAAGATACTAGCAACTCTAATATGATTCTAATAACAACTCTAACAACCAACTCTGTTATAGTTTCTAACATCTGACTGCAGCTTTAGCAATTTTTCCCTAAGAGTTTTGATTTAAGTGTGTATTTTCAATTCTGATGGGGATTACAAATATATATATTTCTAATATCTATATGGATGTTTAATGCAATAAAATATTTTCTAATATTTTATATGAAGATTTTTTATGCTGCCATCTTTGATTACAAAATATTGAGTAGAGCTGTTAAACATTCAAATCATTATTTAAAAACATGCTATATAATTTTATATTTTGAAGAAACAGAGAATTTCCTTTAGTGTTTGTTTGCTTTAACCCTTTCACTACAAATTAAAAAAAAAAAAATTCTTTACTCCATTTTCACACTGGGCAACTTATATTTGTTCTTTTCTCTATGTTTATTTGTGTATAAAGAGCACAGCGGCATCTTCATTTTCCAGCTATTGGAAGATGATCACCCAACATTCAGGAGATTCTTGGCAATCTTCCATGGACAATAATTTTTAAACTTTTAGTGTGACATGTATGTCCCATTAGTCATCAAAGGGTTAAATGTATTTATATACTCTTTGAAGGAAGAAAGTGAAACATCTATGTAGTAAAATAATTTTAAGTTTTCATTTCAGCACCTATTATACCTCAATATTGATAGCATGTTATATAAAAATAAATCTACCAGAAATATTAATATAATATGGAGTATCAAAAATTGTAATAAGGATATCCTTACCTACACTTATGTTATTAATTAAATGGAAGAGTGGAAGATCACTCTAACTCTTATAAATTTTGCAAATTATTATTGATGACTATTTTGCTACAAAGTTAAGAGTGCTATTAGCTGGTGTAACCTGTCAAAAGTATTTGAAAACCTATTTATGTTTTGGTTTAATTATGTTCCATAAGCTTATCAATTACTATATTCCAAATTATTTATAACCCATTTAGTTTTAAAGTCATATTTTCTTGAGAGTATTGTTGTTATTTACATATATATATGTGCTAAATAGTGATTTAATATTTTTTAAATAAATATATATATATATATATATATATTTAAACTTAAATATTTCTTTTATTTAAAGGAACTTCAGTATGTCTTTCCTTCCCTCGTGGAGAATATCTTTGGTTTCCAGTCTGGATCAGACTGGGGCCTCCTTAGCCTTGAAAAAGACCTTCAGATGAGGGAATTTGAAACTTTAAAAAGATTTATGGCACCTGATGGACCCCTTTTAAGACTTGTATTTAAATTTGTTGATGAATTTTCTCCAAAATTTGAATTTCCCATTTCTTGTTTACCTGTAAGTATTCTTATTTTTTATTTAATTTTCAACATGTTTAATATATCAATATTGATATTAAGATAATTTTGTTAGTTCCATTTTCCATTAGTATGGAAATTTATGTAGAAAATTACAATTGACAATAAAACTGAGAGAGAAAATGCTTGTAATAAAATAATAAAAATTAAAGCCTGATTATCCAACATTCAACTAACTTAAAAAATTGAGTAACCAAAATATTATCAGTTTTTTTAAATGAAAAATTTAAGCAAATAAAAGATTTGTGACTAGAGCACAAAATAGGATTACGATTTGAATCAAACAAAAAATGTCGCCAAGCAGTGCGATTTACTGCCGATAATGGATAAGCGTGACATCGCAACCTAGTCATAAGATCTTTGCTGTATATGTAATATGTATGATGGGTTTATGTAAACCCAGTTTATTCTCAATAATTTAATTTTTTTTTAATTTTCGTAAAAAGTGATATAAGTTAGCTGCTGTTTATCTGTTTTTTAATTGTATTGAGAAAAAATTATTAAAATTTGGAATTTGTTTTCAGCGAAATAACATGCAATAGAGTATTTTCAAAATTCCATTATTCTGGCATCAAGAAAAGTGCCATGTATGTAAAAGTGGATTAACACAACATGAAAAATTATTGCAAGCAATTTAAGTTTTTTTATATTTTATGTCCATAACTTGTATAAGTTGGTTATCTAATGGAATAAAGTGTGATCAATTCCTTCAAGTTTGGCAAGATCTCCACCAGTTTTCATAGCCGACAAAATTTCGTAATTGAATATGATCTTTCTTCAGTGTTTATGTATAAAATGCCTTTTTTTTTTTTTTTTTAAATTCTGATTGATTAAATCATGCTTTACTTTTACATTATAAATTTCTCTTAAATTATTTAAAATTTCTTTTAGATACCTAGTCAAAGATTACTTCAAGAAGGAAAAATTCCCCATTTGTATGCCAACAAATTACAAGCTATTAATCCAGGACTTCCTCCTTCTTCACTTCAACTAAATATCCTTTTGATATGTATTTGTCTTGCAAACAACAATGATAATTAAATTTCATTACAACTGGTTGTAGAAACATTGAATGGAATAGGAATTGTACTAATTTTATACAGTTTTCCTATAGTTTATACAATGCATTCTGTTTTTATTTTTTAGTATATTTTAACAGGTTTGATAAACTAAAAGCAATCGGTGCTTTTCCTTTATCTGCCCACAATATTGTAAAATTGTCAAGAACAAATAATACGATATAATAACAAATAATAAGATGATGAGCAAAATAAAATTTTAACTATAAAAAGGGTAGAAGGGATGTTGCTGATCTCAGTTAGTGTTTATTTCAGGTGAAAACTGTCTCCTTATTGCCTCTACAATGGAATCAAAATAATTCCTTGCTTCTTGCTCCAAATAAATTCTTGATAGATAGGAAATATTCGATGGTATCTTTTTCAGTGAATAGTAATTCAAAGAGTCACACTGCAAGACCAAGCAACGCAAGACTCAAAATGAAGTTTGAGAATAAAAGTATCCACCAATACATAATGAGGTATGATTTTTTAGATTTGCAGGCAAATAAAGGAAAAATATCGAGCAATTTTATCATAGCATGTTTTATAAATTCAGTTTTTAAGTAGGTGGAGTTATTTTAAATTGAAAGTAAAATGTAAAATTTGCTACAATTTAGAGTCTAATGGCTACTATATTGTTAACTATTTTTAATTAACCGAGTTCTCATATAACCCTTTTAACCCAAAGTTTTTTCCCTAACTTTGAATCAGCCATCCAAGAGTTTGTTACGTATTCTGTACAGTTTTCCTTCTCTCAGTTAACTAATAAAAGGTCTGAAAATTTTATTGTTCTGAAAGGGAATACTTTTTATATAAAAATTGCTGTTGAGAGCGTATCCAGTTTTGAAAATTCTGAATTATGCAGACTCTGATCATTCCCTCATTTGTTGTTTTATTAGGAGGGAACATTTTCTTATCTTATTAGTTGTTCAATAAAAACTAGGAGTTTGCGTGATACTTGGAATGCTGCCATATTGAATGAGCATTTTTATTTTCCATTTTCATGCATAGAAGAAATTCTTTGACATATTGAATTGGCCAAACCTACCTTGTTTTTCCTGCTGGAAAGGATATATAATTTAGCAGTATGTAATAGAATAGGTAATTTTTTTAATGAGAGTGAGAAAATTTAAAACACTTGAATCCTCCTCATGTTTAATGCTGGTTAAGGTTTAAAAACTAGGGGAAAAGGTTGAAGCAAATAAAAGAAATAACAATTAAAATCTGAAAATTTAACATCTAAAAACCTATCTAGAATCTAACATCTGAAAAAGGGTATTTATAATACAGAATTCAAAATCTTTAAAAAATATGTCAAAATTTTTTAAAAGGATGCATTTTAATCTTTTTAATTCGAATTCTGTTTTAACACCCGTAGCATTACTAAACTGTGGATTATTCCCTTAGAATTGAGCAGAAAATATGGTTTGTATCTCTGCAAATATAGAATATAAATAGAACATTTTTTAAAATTCTATACTGTATTCAGTAATCTACTCATGAATCTACAGTTAAAAACTTAGATAAAAATTTATTGATGTAATTATTTGTTTTCATTTCCTTCCCTGAAAATCTTGATGTCCATGTTTAGAACACTTAAAAATAATTCCACTGATTAGGAAGCCTTACCAGCTGTATGTTATAAAACCTGTAAGACAGATAAAAGTTAGCATGAAGGAATGAAAGGAAATTATGCAGCAATGGCACAAAAATATTCAGGATATAGAAAAGTTGACTGTATACTTTTTACAGCATTTCTGTTCCCAAGACATTTCATTAGCTTATATTTTCCTAAGATACTCTTTGTTGAATTTTGTATGTTCATAAAAATCTTTACATAACTGCATGGAATTCACTTAGTTTTGGTATTTGAAATAACTTATTATTTGAAATTAAACATTCTTTTAGTTTCGATATGTGTAATCAACTTCTCTCTGAAGATCAAATGTTGTTGTTAATTGAAAAAAAAATCTGTTATTCTAAAACTGATGCATTTAGTGGTGATATTGATTACTAGATGCACTGTTATTCTCATTTAAAAAATCCTGGGTATCTTTCAGTTCCAGACACAGTTTCAACCACAGTTGTAAATAATGGACATCTGGTAGGCCTGCCAACAGTCCACCTCTTAAGGTAAATTGCAGTTCTTAGATCATGCCTCTGCTTTATTTTATTTGCTGAGCAATTTGCAAGAATACAAGATTTTCACCTAGGAGGGGAGGAAATAGATTCCTCTGTTCTGTATATCTTTTTCTTGTAATCATGTGATGTCAGACTGCCAAATGACCATCATTTACCTGTGTTTTGCCTATTTATAGCACACCTCTTTTTGGTTGGGTAATTTAAATATTGAGCAGCAGTCAATATTTTTCACTGCATTTAGATCTTTCAGTTATATTATGTCTATTTCTTAATCTGTATAAATGAAAATATTTTAGAATAAGTCTATAACTAATATGGAAGTTCTTGTATTTATTTAGGTATTTGAAGAGTTTAATGCAGCTTGTTTTCAGCATTCCTCTCCTCCATTTTTTGAATTATATATAATATTTCAAATATATATAATATTTAAATTTTATATATATAATATTTGAATTATATACAATGCATACATGTCTTTTCTCAATTTAATTTTCAAAAATGTTAATGTAATATAAGCCTTTTTTTCTGTTATTAAGTATTTATTTTGGAAGTTGTAATGAATTATTACGATATTCCATCCTTATAAAATGGGCATTAAAGTATTTTGGTTTTGTTTATGTAATTAAAAAATATTTCGATTCAGCACAAAATGTTATTTTTTGAATGGAAACATGTAATATTTTTATGCTGTAGAATCTGCTATAAATTTATATGCTGTATTATTTAAATAAATGTTTATTTTACATTTTTAGTGCTGTTCCGTTCTATCCTTTTGTTTAATTTTTTTTGTTCTACGTGCATAAATAAAAGCTATAAAAACACTTAAATTTTAAAATTCTACAGTTGTTAAAGCCAAAAATTTTTTTTTTTTTTTTTTTTTTTTTTTTTTTTTTTTTTTTTATATATATATGTCCAGAAGTATTTTGCATCACATCTGAACGGCTTTTTTAAAATTTTATCATTTATCAGGCAGATTGTCTTTGAATTTTTCCCTTGACTACTTTGTAGATGCATTTGAATTTTATTTTTTCCATTATGCTTATTTCATTGTAAATCCAACTTTAAAGGTAAATATTCTTTTATTTATATTCATGTCTAATATAGCCCATATTACTATATATATATATATATATTTAGCTTTTAAAAAAACTTGGATTTGATTCAATTAATGCTTCAAAATATTTCATCAGCACTCTGTAAAATAACATCAGAAAATGAAAGATGTTTGCCTTTCAAACCAAGATGTATGCAGTACTATAGTTGCCACTAGAACTTACTAAATTCTAACACTTACTAAGTTCTAATAGTCTGAAAAAATGGTATTTAAGTAACAAAACATAGAGAACAGTATTTTGTAACTTGTTGTTTAATGAAAGAAGTTTTTTTTAAGGATTTTATTTAATAACTGTTATTTTTGTCATTTTCCATTTGGAAAAGAAAACTGCTGTAGATTCTCAATAAAGAGAAAAATGTTGGAATCAAACATGAGATTTGTTTTAGCAAGTATCAGCATTATAAGCTGAAAGTGTGATATTTTCTGATCAATTAAGTCACACAATTAAGATTTGCAGAAATTTTCAGCTTATATTTCATCTTTAGAGATAATCTAGACTTTGGTTGATGATTTCAAAAACAAAGGCCATCTTTTGCATCTAATAATCACCATTTTCTTTGCTGCTTATTCCAGTCGATCTTGGATAAGATGTACGGGGAAGTACATTATATCTTTGCATCTGACAAACTCACCACTTCTAAGAAAATATCCTCAGTTTAGTTACAGAAGTCAGGTGTATGTGAAACTATATATGTTGATGTATGGAAGAATAATTTATACTCAAGTATTTTATCTAAATATTGTACTATCTTTGTAACTCTTTATTAGGATTGCTTGCACGTAATAGAGTATATTTGTTAGAGAATAAAGTACCAGTTTCAATATGTACCTTAGTAGAGTTTTCAGAAACAGTATCATTTTTGCACTAATTTTTTAGCATTAAGCTATCTAACTGACAGAGGTGATTTATAACATTAAAGTTTTATTAATAATAAATCTTATAAGGTATTTCTCCCACCTTCGTGATGTAGTGGTCTGCACACTCAGCGCATTATTGAGACGTCAGTGGTTCGGCTCCCGGCAAAAGCATTGCTAATTTTTCATCTTTCCGGCTTCCAAAAAAATCCTAATGACTCTACAAGTGATGCCCAAACAAAAAGGGTGTTGGATGATGATTCTCCTCATACAGGATTTGGTGATTGGGTCTCATAAAAATCCCAGTTGCCCTTTAAAAGGGGGAGTATATAAGGTATTTCTCCCGCCTTCTTAATGAGCCTTCGTGGTGTAGTGGTCTGCACGCTCAGCTTGTAATTGAGAGCTCCGCGGTTCAATTCTCGCTGAAGGCGTTGCTAATTTTTTATCTTTCCTACTTCCAGAAAAATCCTAATGACTCTACAATCTGTTCTTTGAGCTTGTTTTTAAATTTGCAGATGCAGACATTTCCCACTTTATAAATGTTCTGAACAAACATTTGTACTATAAATTTGTATTTAAAATATTACTAGGTTTACTCTGCATATCTCTTATACTTCGCGACAAGCTAACCCGAGAACACATACAAGGCTAGAACGACCTTTTCACCCTGTTCTTCAAGTTATCCATATGCAGTAAACTGCCCGCGGATATTCAATTCCTCCAATTTGCTACACATTTGGCGATTTCTTGCCAAATCCAGCATATGTAAATAAATCTTTTTAAGCAGTGAAGTTGCTGCTGAAATTGATAGTTCATTATAGTGTAAAATGTAGGGCATGTTATTCATTGTCTTAATTTATGTTAAATATTTCACTATTATCTAAATGTGACGAATACTAATTTGATGATATTTAAAACTTGAAACCAGAAGAGTTAACAATGTATTCTTTGCAGTTTTTGTCAAATTTTTTCCCCAAGACCGTTCGCTTAGTTAAAAGTAAAATATATATAAATTCGGGAAATCTGGTAGTAAGTTGTTTTCTTTTAATTTTTAAGATTTTATGCGGCTTGTTACCAAAACAGTGAACGAGGGGAAATTTTTTATTTTTATTTTTTAAAGACATTAATTTGATTTTAATTTGTGATTGTTTAAAAAACTCTGACAATATTTTATAGCAGACATTATGAAAATTATATCCTGTGTTTAAAAAACTCTGACAATATTTTATAGCAGACATTATGAAAATTATATCCTGTATTAATTGTTAGAAAAATATTAAAGCTTTAAAATTGTGAAACAAACATAAAAATTAAGAATCAAATGATCTTGTACCAATTAATTCCACTAATCAATTAAAATTATAACATTAGAAATATCTTATATTAGTTACAACAAAGCGCAAATATTCATAAGAACTAAAAAAGTATAAAAAAATTAAATTCTTAAGTACATTTATTGCTTTTAAGACATTTGCCGTATTAAACGACAGTTTGCTTGTATTTTAAAATTAAAATTTTTATCCTTTGACGAATAAAACGTCTATGCGTGATGGGGCGTGAAAGATGGGGCTTTTGCTTCACGCAAAGGAATATATTGCTTTTATATCTCTCAATTTATAAAAAGCAGACTGATTCAGCTCACTGAGAATCTGTGAATTATATGTGAATGACTGTATGACTGTACTATCGTGTATGACTGTATAAATTAGGGAAAAAACTATACATTTACATTTCCTTTGAGGTACAAAAACAACAAGCATATCAAATGAAAAAAATCTGCTTATTCCTTTCCTTAGATGGAATCATCTGCAAGTAAAGCGCATTAATGATAGAGTTGCTTAAGCCTTGAAACACTGGTAGTATATAGCGAGTTGGTTGTAATGGCTTTTGTAAGCTTTGAACTGCATAGTCTCTCAGTGTGTTGTATAAAAAAAGGTCCTTTGCCCTTATAAATTTCCCACGAAGCCATCTCATCCTCTAGACAGAAACCCTTGTTCCTTCTACCATAGTTAATTTAATTGATCAGTACTTCCGTATTGGTTAGGTTAGGTGATTCGAATATAGCAAAGCACACAAGAGATATCCAACTAAGGGGTGAGATGCATTTCATGGAGGACTTTCTAAAGAAAACAAGCTCGTATTCACGTTACACATGGGAAAACCACCAAGACCGACCATGAATACAGCCCGTTTGCTTGCGCTCAAACGATTCAACGATTTAAGCACTTAGAACTATATTTGGCTACTGGTGCAACACTTCTATATTATATTTTCTAAGGGATTTGTTAGCTTGTATAACAGTTATAATGTTATTTATAACTGTTTATAGGTCTGCCTTTTTTTTTTCCCCCTTGAAAACGGCTGTTGCATTTTTAATTTGTTGCATTGAAAAGGGATCTTTTTTTTTTTTTTTTTTTTTCTGAGGTTTTCAATCCTGCAAAGATTATAACAAGTAACAATATTGTTATCATATTTATTAGGAAAATGCCCTCTCGTAATTGACAAAAACATTCATTACGATAATCTTAGCGGTACTGTTTATTCAGGTTTATGAGGTTGAAAATTATATACATATGTCGAAGATGAAGCAGATACCATAACAATTGCTTTTTTCTCCTCCCGGTCAGTGAATGAATGAATGCTCTAAGTGCTTTTCTCATCAAGAGTGAGGTGAGGTCGGGTTTGCTGGAATTTGCAGTTCCACTAATAATGCCAAAAAAAGGGATGTCTTCCTGTTGGTCATTGAATGATTGACACGATTTAGCAAATTTTTAAACAAAAAGCTGGACGCAACGTAATCGATCGTTTCACACATTTTTTCCTTTTGTTCTCTTTGTTCAACAGTATTCAAATATCACAGCGTAAATTTTACAATATTACTTCTCGAAATGGTAGAACTATATTCTATGGCGGACACATACACTTTCTACTATATCCAGTGTTCTCAGCTTAGGTTGACCTGAGGTATAGATGCTTGTGAGATGAAAGCTAAAAATGCTATCAAATAAATAATCAAAATACTAAAAAATAATACATTTTAAATACCATCTGTAAATACGCATATACATTCTTTGTCGTGTTCTCTAAAATATTCTAAAACTTATTATCCAAATCAAATAATAAAGAAATTTTGCTTACCTGTCAAACGCAGCAAAGATTCTCGCCTTTTGTCATTTTATCCAATTTTTATTGACGACACAATAAATACATTTACAATAAATAAGCATGTGGTTCGCAATTTGCTCTTAAATTAATTTCCTGTTACGTAACTCACTGTCATCAAAGTTCTGACTCCTCAAAGGAAATCAGGTACACACAGAGCCATCTGGTGCAATTACAGTTTCTACACCATCATAAAAACACCATCAGAGTAATAAAAAAACTGCAAATTGTACAATATGTACCCTAGATTGTAGTCTTTGAGGCATGTGTAGATGGGATGTGGATGAGGCTAGTAAATCTGTGGGTTTTTATATGGGTGGCTACGAGTCAACATGTGATTTGTTGTCTGAAGGCTTAAGTAGGTAAAGGGGAGATTTATGTTTAGGAAGCTGAATGAAAGGTGGAATGGTAGATGGAACAACAGCATTGATTTCTGAATTGTTTTAAAAAAATAAGTGTCTAAACTTATCTGGATAGCTTTTTTGTTCTTTTTTCTTTCATCATAAATAATATAGCACTGTATGGCATCATGCATAGTAGACTTACCTTTATCAAACCTCTCAGTCTTGGTTTGCCAAAAAAGTGAGGCTTAGAGTCTTTTTGACTCCAAAAAAAATTTCATTTTTTGAAAACAAGTTTGTTGTTTGTAAAATTTCATGAAAGAAAAGTACAGAAGGTGGTGAGTGTCTGTATGTAGCATAAATGTAAGGGAATTTGAGTGTAGTAAAACTGTGTTCTGTTGTAAATTGTTATAATGTAAATATATGTGCATTTAACCTGATATTGTGTTTCATGCAGAGTAGTGAACGTATTAGCTTTTCTAATTTATCCATTGATTTTTCATACTTTTACAAAAAGCTGAATATCAAACTTAATTAAGTTATTTATATTTTATGTGTTTTGATTTTTTTCAGAGCTCCTTTCATACAGTAAATCAACAAGAAACATTATATGCTCATTTATTGGAAGATTATCTCTTTTATTTCCTACCAACAGAGGGCAGAGCAGTTCCTCTGTACCAGACTCCTTCTAACGTTCAACATTCTCCTATTTTGACATCCTCATTATCTTCTAATTGTGGAAGGTAATTGTAAAATTTTGTATCTGTAGCATATAACTTGGGTACTATCTGATTATCCGCATTTCCACCAAAAAGCCAGGAAAAAATATTCATGAGATGACATAGTATACTACCAAAAAAATTATGTAGCAACCCATGGTGTTGTAAAAAGTATTTATATACCAGCCCATCATAGGCATATATCACACATCTGTTTCAGTATACATGAATATGCACTTTCAAAATTCAGTCATAATTTTTCTGATTAGTGTTTCTTTTTGCATAGGGTACATTTCCCTTTTTCCTTTGTAAGAAATTGTAATAAGAGTTATCAGCCTGATGAAAAAAAAAAGCATTGTATTTCTGCAAAAATATGACATTTTTCACATCAATAGAGGATGGGAAAACATGCCTTCATTGAAGTTGCACTTCTTGAATAAATGAATTTTTTGGAAATGTGATAGAAAAAATTGCAAGCAAAGAGTTAGAATGTGGGCTGGAAATTGGTTTGAAGATAACAATATTTCATCTGCTATTTCATTTATAATAAACTATTTGCTTTATTTATTGTTAACTGGTGCACATTGCTAATGTTGTATGCGATGGCAAGTTTGTGCAGTTCTGTGTTTTATTTTAGTGAAAACAGATCACTGTGTGCGTGGGGAGAACAATAGCACAAAAAATTTGAGAAATATTTTTAGAAAAAGGTAAGTTTTTTATTACCAATGTTTCTTTCCGAATTTTATTGACTGATTGCTCTTTTATGGAATTTTTAAGGCTTGCTACTCAAACTTTGAAGGAAGCTGTGTTAATGGAGAATCCCCAATTCTCATTCAGTAAACAGTAGATGAGAGCTCTGTATCAGTGTTACAGAAGACTGTCTTGATAATCATATACAGCACATGCTCGGACCCAACAAGAATGTAGAGATCACTAATCGTTTAAAGTCAATCACATACATACTTACATGTATCGTAGATGACTGAACTTACACAATCATATAAAAGGTCCCATACTTAAATCACTACAGTTTTTACATTTTTAGATGCATAAAATAATGAAAATTAGTATTTTGGGACTATAGGTTTTAAAATGAGTACGGGTCACAAAAAGGAATACAAAACTCCCTAAAAGAGTATGTTTAGTCACTGCAATAAAATCAAGTTCCTCATCAGTGTAACATCATCTAAAAACAACTTGTGCTTTATAATAACATTTTGCAACTATTATTTATAAAATTGTTTTACTAATTCCATGTAATGTGTATTTCCATTAAAATCATACTTTCTGATTATCCACACTCTTTCCTGAAAAGTCACCAACCATTGGGAACTAATTTTTTGCCAAGCTAAAAAGTAAAACACAACAGCCATTTTCAAAAATAGCAATACAGAAAGAATTACGTGAAACAGCAACCAATTAACAAGAATAAAAATGAAAGAAGCATCCAAAATAAAACACTTACCTTTTTTTTCCCACTATTCTTCTCTTATGGTTTAGCTTCAAAAGAACAAAGAGACACAGAAGCTAGGAATCTTGTGCACACTCCTATGTAAACAGGGATCCGTTTTCACTTAAAAAAATGAGAGAATTGTGCAAATTTTGCACTCCACATGCTGTTGTTTTTCCCTGCCATTACAGTGGTTGGTAACGCTAAGTGTCGTACTGATGGGCCTCAGTTCGAATTCCAGAGAATTAGCTGCTAAAAGCTAAAGTGTGTCTATGGCAAGGGAGTGTATATTAAAATGCACAATGAACTGAATGTTTTCTTGTGAGGTTAGTGGTAGGTGAAGTAGGGTGAGATATTATTGGACCATTCTCCTGATGTTCTTCCTCAAAATTGGGGTAGAAGAGCACAGTTAGTGCAATGGATCTATACCTGTATTGTGATATAGAATAGTTGGTGTGGTGGGTCTATACTTATATGACCAGTAGTGAAATTTTGGTGTCCCACCCACTACTACCTGTATCTGTTGTATTCCTATGTGCACAGCTATTGGTTTTCACTTTAAAAAAAATCAGAGAATAGTCAAAATTGGTAATGGCATACAATTTTTGATATGCAGATTTTGCCGTTCTCTGATGTTTAGGAAAACACCATATTTCTGAAAAAAATAAAATGCTTTCTTTTTCATCAACCAACAAATTTTACAGCTCCTTAGAAGGTTTCCTTAGAAGGAAACACAATACAACTATAAAACAAAAGCAAACACTAATGATAAATTTGAGGGTTGAAATCGACACTTGTCTACTGCATGCATGTATACCTGAGTTGCCACATAAATTCATTTTGTTAATATCATGAGTTGCCTATTTTGACAACATAACACATTGCCTCATGAATGCTTTTCAGGGGATAGATAATCAGAAAATACCAAAATTTCTGTCTCTGCTTCTTACACTATTATCTGCATGCAAACGAAACCTAATGAAAAATGTGAAATTTTATAATAATCGGTGAAGTTCACTTGTCTATATAATTCTTACTTTTTTAACTTATATTACTTAATAATGAAGCAAATATTCATATTTTAAAAATCAAACTTGATTTTAGTCTTATTCAATAGTAAAGATATATGATATCCTGCTGGTCTGTATTTTAGCAAGGTTTGAATCACATAATTTGTCATGTTTACAATTTTTGATTAGCTTAAATTGCATAGATTTGCACAAAGAAAATGTTTCTGTATGTTTTTAGTTTCTATATCTTATACACATGTGATAAGATATTTCTTAATAGGAAAAAAATTAAAAAAACAATTTTTGATAGACTTGCTTGTTTCTATCAGTTTTATAGGTTTTTAGCTGGAATTAGATTGCAAGTTTCTCCCTGTTAATTTACTGTGAAGTAGCTACACAGAGGATTTTTATACATGGGTTATTTTTTGTTTGTATGCTATTCTAAAAAGAAAAAAAAGAAAAGAAAAAAAAAACTTTAATTAACCTTTCTATATTGCCTAAATGTTATATCAAGACTCCTGCATTCTTAGACAGTTATTGAGGTTCCTGAGCAGTGATTAATCCCGAATTTCATACAGGTTTCTAATCTCATAGGCTTGTTTTATATTATGCTTTCCTGTTAATTGTTTTTCTCCCTCCTCTGATATTCAGTATTACATACAGTATCTTAGAAATAATCAAACTGTTTAATTTTGCTACTTTTTATTAAATGTTATCCTGAGCATTCTCACTTGCTTTGATAAAATGAAACTTTTTTTGCTGCGCATGCAACAAAGTGGACTGGAAAACAAAAATTAAATAATTGTTGATTGTACTTTACTTTCTTTCCTTTTTTACATGCATTTCAAAAATTTAAATTTAAATACTATTTATTTAGAAATTATTTGTGTAAAAAGTAATTGTAAAATTGATTTGAAAAGTCCTAGAAATAAGCCAACCAAATTGATTATTCCATCATTAAATTAGTTGATAATTGCTCTCCTAAAAGTTTGACAAATATTTAATTTTATAGGGTGGCATCAAATAATTTTAAAACATGAAACTGAATGAAATATAGCCATTTCCTACTGAAAATAACTATTACATGAGATTAAAAAAATCTTGGAAACATGTATTATGTTAACTCGAATTGATTGTCTTCTAGTTATAACCAAATAAATATTAGCAGTTTTGTTTTCAGAATTTTAAGGTCTTCAACATTGCTTTTCTTTTACAATAAAACTTAGAATGTTAATCAGATGTAGAGGTTTATCATAAAAACTGTGCATTTGGCCTTTACAAAGGGAGGGAGACTTTTACTGATAATCAAATGCTGTTGTATAAAATAATATATATATATTTAAATGACAGCACTTTTTTATATTTTAATTTAAAAATACATGTCATGGGAAGAATTTTGACACATTATATTAACTTATTAAGAATATTTGAATATCTCAGATTGTAACTAATTTAAAATGAAAGTCAGAAAAAGATATCATGCCTGAAGAAAGTATGTTCCACATTTAAACAAAATATATGATATTCCCTAAATTAAATAGTAATGATAATAGAGAAATTTATTAGAGTGCTGTTTTCTTTGTATATATTTTGAGCATTGTGTCATTTAATGCTTTTTGTTTTGCAGTCCCCATGTCACATCAGACCATTTGCAGTCTTATGATGTTCACATTAACAGCCATGCACGACCAGATTTTCTTTCTCCTCTAAGAACAAAACCAAGTCTCCTTAAAAAAGGGACTGTGCTGATGGTTGCTTCCCCAGGGTCTGGATCTTCATATTTTGCAAACTCCGCTGCAGAAAGCTGGAAATCAGAAACATTCCTATTAATTTTGAAAGAAATATATCTGAACCAAAATTCATTAGATCAACAACAAAATGCTATTGATCTCATTCCTGTAAGTTTAAGATGGTTCATAATGCATTTCAGTACTTTCTAATCACATTATCTCACTGCATTAAATTTGATGGCTGTAAATAATAATAATGAAATAAATGTAATAAATTATATTAAAAGAAAGGTTTATTTAACTTCATCGTAGAAGCACGTTAAATTTTAAACTTTAATTATTCTAATTTATATGCTTATTTGGTGCAGCGTAACATTCAAAATCAGTATCCAATATTAAAGTTTTCTTGCTGTGTGCTCATGCACATAATGATATTTAATTCTGAATTTTATATTAATTTTCTTTCTCAGAAAATATTCAAGTTTTATAGTTGCAAATCCTGACGTTAAGTTTATCTCTTTAGTGATAATATTATCAGAATATCAAAAGCATTTTAGCATATTGTAAAAATGCATCTTTTAAATTCTTTGAATGCTTTTATTTAGGTGGTTTTGGAGTTTTCTTTTTCTTTTTTGGCTACAGTAAGGAATTTTTAAATGACTCTGAATTATCCTAAAATATTTCATTGTTCTTCCTGGTATTTTATAAAACTGAGCAATTAACTTTCAAGATTGCCTTTTAATTGTTCATTTAAAAACTTTATTCTCTTATTTAACTGACTTTGAAAAACTGGAGACATTTAAAAATAGTATTGTGAGACTTGAAAACAAAAAATATAGTAAGTTGCCCTTAAATTAAGTAAGAAACAACTGTGCCATATTTGGTCTAGATCTACAAAACTGCATTTTGGTTGACTTTGGAGGCTTTCGAATATAGTTGTTCAACTCTTTTTACCTTTTCGTAGATTTTTAAGAGTCAGTATATTTTTTAATTCTCCTTATGAATTGTTAAGTCCATAAGAAAGTACTCATTCACAAGTCTCTCAGCAAATACTGAATAGTCATTTTGGAGAAAGAAACAACTGGTTTACTTTGAAGATTTTGTAAACAAGCTATTGTCAATCAAAATCACAATAACAACCTTGTATTTCGTGTACATTTATTATAACACTCAATCGATTTCGAGGGCAGCTACAGGTCCCCTCCTCATCAGGAGAACGAAATTACTAGAAAGGGCTTTTTATACCCTCCGGTAGTACCATGCCTGAGGAGGCAACGCCATCTATCGGCAAAAATAATAACCAAGAATTATGTTAATAGAATTTTAAAAGCATTAGGAAAGACTGGATTGGACTTAAAATCATTCACTAAACATGCTAAATCTTTCTGAATTTGAAAAGCCTCAAGAAAATCCAATTCACCAACGGAAGAAGTTTTTTGGATAATTTTTGCAGATCCAAAGTCAAAATTATGATTAAATTTTCAACTATGATACGCTATTGAAGACTTGTTAATTTCGCCTTTTCAGACATAAGATTCATGTTCCTTGATACGAAAGTTTAACGCTCTTTTTGTTTGGCCAATATATCTCAAGCCAAACTGATACTAATATCCCCAAGAATTAAAGTCAGAAATGTAATCTTTTAGAATCGAACTGTGAATTCTATTGTTAGGAGAGAAACTGACCTGAAAATTGAATTTCTGGAGAATCCGTGCAACTTTATAACTAACAGAAGGATTAAATAGAAGCACGACAAGATCATTAATATTATTTCTAACAGTAAAATGTCTACTTGGATGGGAATCTTTTTTTTTTTTTTTTTCTTACCAATGAATTTAATTATTTGAGAGCAGTTGCTATTGACCGAGGATTTTCTCCCGTGATCATTGATAAAGCCGTTAAAAAATTTTCATAAATACATAACATAGTAAAAGAATTCATATTGGTTTTGGTACTATAAATACTGTAATATATTTTTTTATCTTGATTCAATAAAAACGTATCTATTAAAAACTGTTTTATTGTCATTTATAACTTTTAACTGAGAAATTTCCTGATATTAATCCACGTTTGAATGATATGCAGTTGTTATTTCAATTAAAGAGGGGGATTAACCAATGTGCTTACCACAGATATGTGAAGTAGCTTTCATTACTGAGAGGGTGCATGAAGAATGATTATTATTTGTGCATTATTATGACTGTATTGATGCTTGTAATATAGATCATGCAATTTTTGGTGCAAAATCTGAAAAATGATGGATTATAAAGTGAGTGATAGTTTAATTAATATTTTAATCTGCGAATGTGAAATCTGAAAGGGAAATTTTAGTTAATAACAACTTTGTGACAAATGATAGGTCATCATTATCAGATACATGCATAAATTCGATTCATATTTGTAAAGATATGTGATTGGTGTACATAAGTCTAAAATTTCATCTTCATCTATCTATTAAGCAATTATTAGATCAAATTAGAAAATCGTATACAAAATATCATAAGCAATAAAAATTGTGAAGCTGTTGAGAAAGGGGGGAATGAAGCTTTTCAAGTAAGGTCTGGCTTTAAGACATTGTAGATGCTGGAAAAACTAGTTAATAGTTGACTTATTAGTATTAAAACTGTTAGAATAATGCTTTGTGTGACAGTTAACAAAATGGTTTATATATATTCCATATTGATTGAATACTCTGCTTTGCAAGAATAATTGAATTAAATGTCTTATTCGGCAAGAGTAATTAATCTTAAAATTTTTAAGTTAGATAACTAGAACTATGGTTTGGAAAAAATTCTCAGTTATTAAGATGTATTTTAGGATAACATTTTTTTTCATATTATTTTTGAAAATAGGTAAACTTTACCATCCTAAACTTCTAATTATATAAATTTTTGTAGCTGTGGTTACTCTTTCAGTAATTTACTTTCTAAAGTTGATCTAAATTTTTTTTTTTTTTTTTATATCTTGTATGTGTATTATATATTTAAAATGGCTAGTTTCCATTGAAACCTTAGCTTTGCCTGCAATTATTTGCAGTGAAAAGAGTTGGAATGAAAGATGCAAAAAGATTTTTTTGTCCATTTTTAGGCTGTTATTAAATAATGTGATGTTGCTTTATTGGATTTTATTAAATGGTATAGTTATAAATGGACTAAAAGCAATAATTTGTTTAATTTGTTTAATCTAAACCAAAAAAAAAATTATGTTGCTGTTTTAGAATCTTAAATATAAGATAGATTATTTGCAAAATTTCAAAAAATTTTAGATTCTTCATCATTCTTTCATTCTAAATCTCTGATAGCAGAAACAGGAACTCTACTGTTAAAATATGTAATTTGAGTATCGTAAAAAAATATATTTTCATTTCTTAGCTTAGCTGTTTTTATTGTTATGCATTGATATTAAAATTTAGAACTTTAATTTATTATTTTCTCTTTGTAGAAAATATTTGTCCCTACTCATTATCATGTTTGGATGGTAAGGATACTGGTGAAACATCTTCACTTCTTTTTCAATAGTTCCTTGTTATCTAATCAAACCTCTGGCCATGGTCAGATAATGATCGATAGCTTGGGACGCTTAAAAAGGTAGATTTCTTAACACAATCATGTTTTCAGAAATTATATAAATGTACATTTTTGAACATGTTCAAAGTGTACCTTCAAATTTATAGATATTAAACATTGAATTTTACCAAAAAATGCATAGATAAATGATACTTTTTTGTTTGTTTATTTCTCATTCTTCTTCTTCCCCCCCCCTCATATCAAGAAGTTTGTTATATTCAGTACCCAAATAAAAAATTTGTTATGCAATGGCATGATATAATTAAAACAGGAAATGAAACTAAGAATTTTTGTTAGCACTGTGTAGGTGACAATACTGGTACATTACTGCTGTAAAATAAGCAACTGTGTGATAATTATGCGTATTCCATGACTTTCAATGAAATTTACTGAATAAGTTTATATTGAGAAATTCTTCCTATATAAAAAATGAAGTGTCTATAAGACTTAATAGTTAAGTTACTTTGCCCCGGGCTCCAGTTATGCTCGCTACTCCACTGGTTGACACTTATCATTCACCGTGGGGTTACATTACTAATTAATCATTGTAATTTATCTTTAAAAGTGTGGTAAAAGTTTTTCCCTTTTGAAAATGATATATTATTCCCAGCCTATATTCTTATTAAATATGTGTTTTTTGTTTAATTTTTTATACTGGGACATAAATGTATATATCTATCTTACACTATATCCATCTTGATTTCACTGAACTAAGACATACTTGATATTTCAAACTTAAATTTGTGTAACTTCTGAATTAGAGTCACTCCAAGCCCTTGTTACATTGACAAAGATGCCAGCCCTCCCAATAAAACTAGTAGACTACTAATTTTACATCATATGTTCTGGTCTTCCAGTCTTTAATTATCTAAATTTGGATAATTTCTTTCAAATACAGCTGTAGAAAAATCTGATGATTGCTAAGTAAACACAATTTTGATGGCATATTTAAAAAAAGATCAGGCGGTGGCATAGTCATGTCTTTATGAAATAGTTTTGCAAGCTTCTTTTTTTCCTCTTTGTGATCTTCAGCATAATTTTTCTGATTAAAACTTACTTGGTCTGGATTATTTTAATCAATTATTGAGATTTATGAAGACACAACTAATATTTAAGAGTCAAATATTTGCATTCAATTTACTTTAAATCTGTAAATGCTACATTTCTAAATTTATTTTCACAATTCTACATGCATTAATCGTGAATTTTATAGTGTTTATAAGCACTTTGATTATTAAAAAAAATATCCCCCTCCCCCTTTCAACGTTAATTATCCAAAAAAACGTGAAATTTAGAATAATGAATTATGTCATTATTTTTAAAAAGTCTATTTCAAGCTTATATATTTTATACCAAATTGGTTGCTTAATAACTAGTTTAGTAATCCACATTATAAAGTAGTTAAGCCAAATTTGTTAGTTTGGAATTCTTTTGAAATCACGTCACAGAAACTTTTCGTTTTTTACTTCCTCGTATGAAGTAAAGGAAGTATTGTCATCACAAAAAATTCTGAGACCGTATTTCAACAAATTTGTGTGATTTTTATGTGTGTTTGGTGTCTGAAATGCTTTCTTGTGCTTCCTTAATTTATTTCTTCTTATCTATCTAGCTTGGGAATGACACAATTAATTCAAAAAGAAATGTATTGCCTTTTAAAATCTACTTTTGATCACTGGCCTTTAGATGCATCGTTCAGAGTGGTATGTCAGTTTTTATTTTAACAGGATTTGTTTAGTATGTAACAAAATAATGCTTATGTTTTTACCAAATATTAAATCAAATTTATTATTAAGTCATATCTAATGTAAATTTTAATAAAATTATTGTAACTATTATTAACAGAACATGATGAACATGAACTGAATGATCTATTTTTATAAAATTATTATTTTAAATGTGTAACAAAGGAATCTACTCGTAGAAACTATTTCCATAGAGAATTCTGTGATCGTTACAAACTATACTCATATCATATTAATGAATTTTTTGGTCAGAATCATGGTAAATTTAATTTTTTTAGTCTAGAATTCATTTTCATTTTTAACATTCTTTTGTAGCCTCTTGAAACTTGGCTGAGCTACATTCAACCTTGGAGGTATATACATTGTGACTTAGAGCCTTCAGTATGGTAAGCGCTCAGTTTTGTATTATTTATATGTGTTTATTTTTTCTTTTTCTTATACAAATAATGAAAGTCTGTTTTCCTTCATAAATTATAATTTCTTTATAGTAATTGGTTCTCTGGTCTATAGATCCGGTCTGCAAATTCTTAATCATTTAGTATCTATAACTACCATTCCTCTACTCTTATCATTGTGTAAATATGAAAATAAATAAAATATGAGAAATTCGAAGCTTGATAAAGATTATAAGAATAGTAATAAGATTCCAATAAAAATATGAGAAATTCTAAGATTGATATTTTGAACATTATTCTGTTGAGCAAAAATATTTCTCGCAACTTTTTAAACCTTTTGCTGAGAATGCGTATCTACAATTCTTGATGCCATGTTTTCTTGTATCACCATTGCACTCTTTTATTTGCTTCTTTCATTCACTAATGATATTTGTGGGCTTTCGATTAAATTCGCTAGAAATATTTCTTTTCATTTCTGCAAGCATCTTGTATTATTTATACTTATTATCCTATCATATTAGTCTTGTACTTTTCCATATGTTTTTGATGAATTTCAGTACATGATAATTCTCATGTCTGTTAGTCAAAGTACAGCAAGTGTAAGTCCGAAATCCAGACATTCAGTATCCGGAATGATCTAAGATCCAAACCTCTGTACAACTAGCTCCAATAAATAAATAAAATAAAATAATAAAAAATAATACCTCCCATACAAAATATGGGAATGAAGATTATAGTAACAAAAAGAGGCAGGTATGCTGTAACAGGGATTTTTCCCCAGACTAAATAGAATTTTGCATGTCACTTTCAAACTTATACTAGTTAAAGAGTCGCACTGTCATCGATAAATGCTGCAGGCATTGTATGGATGTTGGCGTGGATGACACTTTTGTCCCTTAAGTGGCTGTTGGGGAGTTAGAACCAGTGCTAAGGATTTTGTTACTCAGTGCAATCTCCGCAGGTCTTAAATTCTGCTACCTGGTGCCTCCAAAATTCTACTTCTGGTGCCTTTTCTAAACTTTAAAAATTCTGCCATCCCTAGTTTTTCCTTGGGGCTCCTAAATTCTAAAATTTTTGTTGCCTCTTAATTCTTATGCAGTGGTTGCACCAGTTGCACCTATATCGCTGGCTTAATATTTTTCTGTTTTCTATCTGACCTAAACTGTGAGTGAAGCCAAAATGTTGCCATGTCTGCATGTTATTATCCTAAACTTATGATCTAAAATTCAGAAATTTTTTAAATCTGAATCGCTGAAGTCCTAACAATTCTGAATCACGGATTGTGTTCTCTAATAGTTCGCTGTTCTTACATTATTTTATTTTATTTATTTATTTATTTATTATAAATCTACAAAAACTTGCATTTTGCTATTATGAACTTTTAGTGTGTGATACATTATCTTAGTTAAATGGGAATTCTTGTTGTAAAAGAGTTCATCTCTGCTCTTGGAAATGTCTTGAACTAAATTTACTAGCAAAATAAATGATCGAATTTATTCAGAAGTAAGATACATATATATTGTAGTACCCTAATCAAATGCTTAATCTGTGGTTCATAAAATGTGTCCAGTCCTGCAAAGTTTTTATTTTATTTATTTATTTACTTTAAAGAATGCAGATGCCATTGACAGCAAATTAAAAGTTTTGACTTTTATCTTCAGAAAATTTTCCGGACATTAGTGATGTTCTCAACAATTAATATATAATACCTTGATTTAGTTTATTTCTAAAATTTAAATAGAAATATGTTGATATGAGTTAAGGAAGTAAAATATGTTTACTTAATGATTTAAAAAAAAAAGGAAATTCTAAGAGACCTAATAGATACTGTAATAAAGTAAGTGACATCATTATTTCAGTTTTGCTAAGTATGAAATGTTTGGTTTATTGAGATTATAACAAAGCAGTATAGGGCTATCTGCCTAAGGGGAGGGATGCCTTCGTGGAGGACTTTCCAAATGAAACTGACTCGTTTACATATTACACATGGGGAAAACCACAAAAACACCAATGTAGCTAGCCCATTTGCCTAGAATCGAACCCAGGTCGAAACTGCCAGTGTTCAGCGACTTTACCGCTCTGCCATTGGTGCGCAAATATGATGTGTAAAATGAAGCAGTTACATATACATCTATAAAAAATAATATAATTCTCTAGATTGTAAAAGTGTAATTTTAGTAACTTATATAGAAATATTAGCTAAAACTTTTAATATTTATATTATAATGCACATAAAATTATTCTGTGGAATAAAAAATGTAATTTTGAAAACTCATTTGCTTATCTTTATTTTGTAATCAAAAGGCTTCAAGAAATATTGTCTTCTATGTTCAGCAATCTGTAATCTAATCCTATTCTCAATTTTGACTCTTCCTTTATAAAATAATAATAAAAGTGGATTATATTTAATTGCTCATTAATGTACACTGCTAAAAAAAAAAATGGGACAGTGCTATATCTCCCGTTCTACTGGGCCGATTGACAAAATTCAAATTGCGTTCTTCATGTCTCGAAAGCGCGACTTAGGATATATATTAGATCTATATATAGCACTATTCTAACATAGGTATTTTGACACAAAATCGGACTTTTTCTGAAATAACATACCAATTTTTTTACATATTTCGATTCTACGACTCAAATTACGCCTAAATATGAAATTTTGTAAAATTTGGAGCGAAATTTACGGAGAAATTCACAAATTTTTGTTGGGACTTTTTTGTCAGTTTGCGCCAAGAATACTTCACTTGGCGAACTTCTTAATATATGGCAACCTAGTTTCCTTTTCCATGAGAGGAAAAAAAGTCACCATCGTTCCTTTTTTCCAAATAATATTCTTTATATATATTTTTAATTATAACTTATTATTTTAAGTAATTTTTTCTTTTTCGAATTTCATTTTAATTGTTTAAGTTGCACTTTTTTTTTTTTTTTTCGAATGAGTGTTTTAAAAATTTCTATTTACCTATTCGAAACTGCGTAAATAAAGATGCAGCGTTTATTTTTTTTAAATAGTTTTCTTTATATATATTTTTCGTCTTAGTTATTATTTTAGGTAATTTTTAAATTTTTATTTTAATTGTTTGTGTTGCATTGTCTCTTCAGATAATTGTTTTAAAATTTTCTATTTATTTCTTCGAACTGAGCATTTTAAATATATTTATTAATATCAATTTTCCAGAATTTGATTTTATTTATTTGAACTGCGTTTCTTTCGGAAGAATACTTTGTAACCCAGACTACAATGAGTTTGAAAACTGCATATTATATTAAAAGAGAAAATACAGTAAAGCACAGTTTTACACGCCTTTCAATGTTCCGTTCAGAAAAGATATATATAAATAAGAGAGATGTATAACGGACATTTTAACATAGGATGACTTGCATACACTGCTTTAAACAGTTTAATCATTGTGCTCATTGCTTTACGCAGTTTTATCATACATTTGGTTTCTTAAAATGTTATTCATATTTTAGTTAAATATTTTATTTTTGAAATCGCAAGAATCAAATATCATAAGATTAAAAAGTTTTAAATTAAAAAAAAGTAGAAATATTAAATTTTACGCAAAAATTTATTTTTTCTTTTCTTTTTCTTCAGACATTCTACTTTATTCTTGCTCTTTTTCTTTAGGCATTCTGCAAGTATATTAAAAAGTATCCAACTTTTCGAAATAATCTTGGTATTTCTGACAATCATTTTAAATAAAGTTATCGCCTTCCATTTCATAAAGGCCCACAAACGGCCGAGCGGTAGAGAATCGTTTAACACTGGTAGTTCGCTCCGGGGTTCGAATCCCGGTAAACGGGCTGGTTACATGGGCGTTTTCGTGGATTTTCTCATGTGTACCGTGTATGCTAGCTGGGTTCTCTTAAAAAGTTCATCACGAAGTATTTGGTCAGAGCCTTTATCAGTCTTTAGAGGCTAAACATTTTGAAGGTATGAGATGAAAGGAAAGTCTGGTTTCATCAAGAGGTTTTGGTTTATTTAATTATGCCTAAGGGAAGGGATGCCTTTGTGGAGGACTTTCTAAGGGAAACTGGCTCGCATACACGTTACATATGGGGAAAACCACGAAAACGCCCATGCAGACAGCCCATTCGTGGGATTCGAACCTCGACCGAACTACCAGTGTTCAGCGATTTATCACTCGGCCGCTGTTTCATCAGGAGGAAAAAAAATCGTCTTTAGGTGACATCCACATACATGACTGGATAAACTCCTGAATCTTCAAATAATTCGACTGAGAAAATCATGGGATTCTCCATTTATGATACAATATGATGTTCTATAACGTAATTTAAATTTATACAACCATATAGTCTACAACCAGTCGCTCTTTACTTTAATCTGTAATGATATCGTTTTTGTCTTTTCTGTTCACACAAGCTCAATTGATGGTATTTGGTGGTGGTGGTGTACACATCCAAGTGTTTTCTCTTTGAACACCTAAATTCTTTGAAGTATCCTGAAGGTATATTCAAAAGCTTCCAACTTTTTGAAACATCTTGGTATGTCTGACAGCCATATTTCCCTGCAAATTTTTGCTTACTTTTCTCCCTAATTTTCTTCTTTCCTTCTACAGTTTTTTTTTCAGTGCTCACACAAAAAAATTAAGATTTTTCGATTCCTAGACTTCCATAAATTTTGCATTCTTGTCAATTTTTTTAAAATATCAGTTGCATCAACTACGTTTCAGCTGAAGACAGCTTTTCATTTTCTAGACATTTTAACTATAAACAAAGTATACCAAAGTATAAATATTTTAATTAAAAGATTTTTGCTAAATGACAAAGAAATAAAACAGTCCAGCAGGGCTTATTCTGTACCACCGAGTAACCCGATTCTTATATCGGCTGAAACAATCTAAATCATATTAAAGATCATGTTTTTTTTTATACAATCTATAACTCGAGAGAAAAATTAGCTTCTTAAAACATTCTTTCTAAGAGGATTAATATAAAATATTATATTTAAATATATATATTTTAAAGGTGGGACTTGAAACAAACTGTCAGACTTTTAAAGTTTAATTTACATGGTGGTTATAATTAAAGTTCCAATTTGAAATGGTCATAAAAGGAAAACTACTGGACCAAATATTATCAAACTTCGGAATCATGTAAAGGAGGTTATGGGAATTTATTTTCCGCGGGAAAAAAAAAAGAGTTCAAAAACTCACCACCAGTGGAAAAATGGCGCTGTATACAATATTGGTAAATGAAATAAGACATGAAAACATCTGTTTAAAATGTGTTTAATAGTTTCCGAAATGTGTTACAAAGCATGTTCAATGTAGCGTCCAGCATTTTCTGAGAGCAAGTTAAATCCTGTTACTGCATTCTTAACAGCAGTTCTTAGCATATCAGGAAGAATGTTACGGACATTTTTCATTTCTGCCAAATTGTTTAGAATATCACCATAAACAGTGCTTTTGAGATAACCCCATAGCCAAAAGTCACAGAGATTGAGGTCTGGTGGGAAGAGGGGAAGTGTTCGGCCTATAAGACGTTCATTCGTGAAATGTTTCCTAAGTAACTGTGCGACACACGTGAGGTGGGCCCAGCCCTGCATAAAAATCGTGTAGTATCTAAAATGCCATGTTACTGCAGTTCCATGCATTTCATGTATCACGAAACATTTTAACATTGACTCTAAGTGAGCTGCAATCACAGTGGTCCAGCTGTCGCCTGCTCTTCAGAGAAAAATGGTTCAGTTATAAAACTAGCTGTCATTCAACACTAAACGGTGTGGAATGACTGTTATGCAATCGAATGCAGTAGGAGAATGCAATGGAACTAGATAGATAACATGAGGGATTTCTTTGGCCCAAATCGATTAAAAGCGTTTTGAATCAGTATCTTCATGTTTTAGTGCCGAATTCAGGCTTCAAAAATTACAAATTAGCGATCTGTAAGAAAACGATTTCCAGATTGTACGCACTTGTGCGAGTGATTTGCGATCTCACATTTTCTAATCGCTAATTCGTGGTTTTCACGGACGAATTTCTCACTTACACGGATGGCGCACTCGACTTTTATCGAATTCAACGCTTTTAAATGGTAATTTGCCTACTTCAAAGTTTCTTAAGGGTATGCAACATGTTAAACCCGTGTAACAAAAGGTTAAGTTAGATTCCGACCCATATTTCGTTTAACAATATTGCATACAGCGCCATTTTCCCCCTGGTGGTGAGGTTTCCAACTTCCTTTTTTTCGCGGAAAATAAATTCCCATGACCTCCTTTACACGATTACCAAGTTGGATAACATTTGATCGAGTAGTTTTCCTTTTATGACCGTTTCAGTGTGGAACTTTAATTATAACCACTCTGTATATTATTAAATTTTAATTTGAAGATATGCGTTATATGTATACCAAGCGTAAATTTTTTGTTTTTATGGAAAAAATAAAGAATCAAAGCAAATATACTTAGGATAATGGACCAAAACTGAAAAAATTTCCCCTCCCTCCAAAAATAAAATATTGAAACTTTGACCTTGAATTTATTGGATTATCGAAATATTTAATTTGACTTATCTTCTAAGTCCTAGTTCCGAGAACAATTCCGTCAAAACTTCCAAATTGCTTAAGCTAAAGTAAAAGATTTAGTATATATTCACTGTATGTTAATAAAGTAATCAGAGTGGAATAAAAATAGATTATCAAATTTACGCTGATGCAACTTTTCGTCTGACTGCACAACATGTAATGGAAGAGAAGGCTTGTAGAGATCTGTTTTTGACATGCCTCTAAAAGTAGATGTCATACTCCTTTTGTCTCTTCAATGTCAAAAAACTTTCCTTTGAGAGGCAACTTTAGTTTTTGGGAAAGAAAAAAATCACAAGAAGACAAATTTGAAGAACATGCAGGACGATTGAGTACACATACTTATTTTCCGAACACAAGCGGTTCTCCGACTGGTTATTGAATAATGAAAAGATGCATTGTCATGCAATACAAAACATTCAGAATAGGTTTTCTGACTGAAAACGTAAGATTAAAAGTCATCTGCTTAATTTACAGTCATTTACAAGTCAACTACTCGGGCAATTGCAGAATCGTTTTGATCCTGAGCTTGTAAGACAAACCTAATATCACTGGATTTAAACACTTCTTTAATCTTCCGAGAACGTTCCTTCTTTAGCTCATATTCCAAGAATATTAAGTGAATACAATTATTGCAAAAGCAATTGAATATTCATTTGCACTACGGCTTGGTAGTTTACTAACGTGTTAACAAAACTTGAATTCTGCTTTTTGTGTCTAACAATACAACAATATTTTAAATATTTAGAAATTAAAATTGGAAATTGGAGCCTCACCAGTTGCCTAGCATTTGAAGATTGTTAAATACTAATTGTTTGTTGCGAAGTCTAACCCAGGCTGCATGGTTGGTTTTCGTAGTTTTCTAGGTTCTCTTTACAAAGGTTCTCTATGAAAGCATCTTAATCAAATAGCTCCCATGTTCTTTCTATGTTCAAATAACCAACTAACCTAGTTTAAGCGCGATTTCTAAGTGAAGTTACTAGCAAAACCCGAATACTCATTAAAAATCATGTAGCTTGCCAATCGAGAGTAACATGAAAGATGCGGCGCCAATAATTGAATTCCTGCTACGGTACGCTGTTTTTAAACTTAGATGGTCGTTCCTTAATTAAATAGCTCACCAGCGGCCGAGCGGTAACAACGCTGAACACTGGTAGTTCGGTCCGAGGTTCGAATCCCGCGAACGGGCTGGCTGCATGAGCGTTTTCATGGTTTTCCCCATGTGTAACGTGTATACGAGCCAGTTTCCCTTAGAAAGTCCTCCACGAAGGTATCCCTTCGTTTAGGCAGATAACCCTTGTGTGCTTTGCGATAATTAAATAATCCAATCCAATCCAATCCAATCCTTAATTAAATGTAATTGATTTGTAACTTCTACTAGAGCTGACGGTTAGAATTGAAGTGTAAATAAATAATATCGTGTGCAATATTTGCAATTTATAAGAAGGGTTTATTAATAACCGTAATAATTACTTATTATATTACTAATGATTAGTATTCAGTTCTTGACAATTACATTCTAAATTAGAATTTTAAGAATATAATGAAAATACGCTACGCACAAAATACATTTTAAGATAAAAAAAAACGAGTTGATTTTTTATGTTTTAAAACTTCTTGAATTCATTTAATAAACATCGTATCCTCGTTGTTAATTGAATCCAGAATGTTGGGTGTCGTTTATATAATTATTCTTACTTGTCCACAGAATCTGCTGACTTATCCAGCCATTAAGTAGCTGCAGATCATTTCTACACAACCACCGAACTTCCATTAATTCAGTCTCTAGAGGGTTGTATGTTTATATCATAATTTGACTTTTATAAAAATGATTATTCTAAATCTTATGTTTCTATAAAAATATACTGTGCTTTAAAAATATGTATCAGCCGCTCTTTCAACCACTTCAAAAGCAACAGTTTGTTCTTAGAAATAAATTATGCAGTTACTGTCATAAAATTCAAATAAACATCAAACAAAAATTCTTAGTTTTAGACAATTCGATTTAAACGAAGTAAAGCAGCAGACGATAAAACGCCGAAGGTAAAAATTTACTCTTTTTTTTTTTTTTTTTTTTTTTTTTAAGATATAGAGAAATTAAAAAAACATAGTTAAAAATTTGAATAATATCATCTATAATTTAAAAAAAGTAGCTTTAAATATAGTATTAATAAATATTTATTACGCATCATTGAGGGAAAAAATTGTCATATAATTAATTCTCCGTAAAAATTTACTTAAAATTTTACTTGAAATTAAGGTTAAAAATAGCTGTGGCAATTCAGTGTAACAAAAATCCATAGACCACATTTGGCGTTATTATCGCCCGCTCCCCCCAAAAAAAGTGCCAAATTTCAAAAACGCGAAAATATGTAAAAAATCGTCATGTATATCTTAGAAAATTTTGAATAAAAAAGCTCTAATTTTTTGCAGATATGCTTAAAATATCACCTACTTTAAGATGATGGTAAAAATTTTATAGGTTATAATTCAAAATTTTTTTCGAAAAATATATAAAAAATTATTTTAAAATAGAAATTTTAAAAATAAAACACAAAAAATGGGTAAATTTTATTTGGAATGAACCTAAATTTCGAAATGTGAGAGAAAAAATCAAAAAAGTTTAATAAAAAAAGAGATATTAATAAATATTTGCCAAATTCAATTAACATTGAGGAGCTAAAATTTTGAGAGCTAATATTTTAAAAACTACTCGTACGATTTTTTACAAAACTTGGTATTCTGGCATAATTTGAGTCGTAGAATCGAAATATGGAAAAAAATTGGTATGTTATTTCAGAAAAAGTCCGATTTTGTGTCAAAATACCTATGTTAGAATAGTGCTATATATAAATCTAATATATATCCTAAGTCGCGCTTTTGAGACATGAAAAACGCAGGTTGAATTTTGTCAATCGGCCCAGTAGAACGGGAGATATAGCACTGTCCTTTTTTTTTTTTTTTTTTTTTTTTTTTTGAGCAGTGTACATCGATGGTAGCTTTCATATCTCACAAAAATCATATTTTTCAATTTGATAAAATCAATTAAATACTGATATTATCTATCTATCTCTCTATATATTAAATGTGTGTGTAATGTATATTTTAGGCAGAAATTTGTGAATGAAAACATCTTATTTTATACTTCAATTTTCCAACAAGTTCTAAGGAGATTTCTGAGAATGGATTTAAACTGTCCTAAAAATGCATATATGCTCTTCAGATTAACAAAGGTATTTAATTTCCAGTTTTCTTCTTTTTGTGGAATGTGGCAAGAAATCTTTTATAATATGTACTTGAATATAAAATAGCATTTGTGATATAATTAAAAGAGAATTTAAAATATTAAAAAAATTAGGATACTGCATTAAATGTTCATTTATATTAATAATTTATGTTAGATTCAAAACATCTGGAATTTATAGTCTATGAATGTAATTATAATATTTTTATTGATCAATTAAGATTTAATATTTCACTTAGCTAAACTGCAATAGAATTAAGGAGAAAATTGTTTGATAATAAATTTAAGTAAATTATTCATTTGCATATATAGATAGATGATTTTATATCTTTTTTTCATATTACCTAGGTTTTCTCCACAGGAGAGCTGAGAGATATGATAATGCAAGGTATATATATCATGACTGTATTTTTATGAGCTTTAGTATTCAGTATTTGAACTTATAAAGGATTTCTGTACACAAACTAATCTGTCTTAATTTGTATAGCTGAAAGAGGATCTGTATCTAAACCATCAGACATTGGCATGCATAATTCATTTATTCATCGTTCACCAGAAAAGTTTTCTTTCACTAGAAAAATTTCTCAACTTGAAGTTCCTGGCTCTACATATACACCTCTCTTTAGTGAACCTGTATTTATGATGGTAATTTGTTAAGAAACATTTATTTTTATGACTCATATATGCATAAAGCTTAAACTCTATGCTCTTTTATGTTCCTATTTATATCATTTACATTATCCCCTTCTCCAAATATAATGCTTTAAAAATTTATATTCCTTAATTCCTCCTAGTTGATTTATATTATGTCATATGTAGGCACTTTAATATTTTTTCTGTAAATGTTTTACTTTTTTCTTAAACATATGTTTTCTCGAAGTAGCTTCAGAGCATCTCTCTAAGATCCTGGTTTTCATGCGAGAATATTTCAGTTTTTCATAGTTCAAGGTTGGTAGCTATGTGTATCATAAAATCCTTCCTAGTTCCTTCCTCAAAAAATCAACAGCTATTCAGAATCTTGCATGTAAAATGTGCCAAAAAATAGTAACTGACAGTGTTTGATATGGTTTATAGTATAAAACTGCTATCATTGACTGGATTTATTAAATGCTATCTCAGATCTAAAATAACACTCAATTAAAATTTTAAATTGATAAGTCACTTTTAAGTTTCCTAGTTAAAGATCACTGCATAAGAAAAATAAAGCAGTTCTTGGAATAGAAAAAGAAAATAAAATTGTTATCACTGAACAATGTTAGTAAATATAACCAAATCATTTTTAGAAAATATCGCTACTGATTCATATTTGATTTCTGACTGTAAAGTCTTGTTTAACGGTAGAGCAGAGGGTGAGTCATTCACACTGGTTTGTTAAAAAAGGCTGGGGTTCTAAGCATAGATGTCTTTTGGGGGCCCCTCAAATTCATTTTCCTCTTTTTTTTTTTTTTTTTTTTTTTTTTTTTTTTTTTTTTTTTTTTTGTGTGTGTGTGTGTGTGTGTGTGAGAAAGGAAGTTATGAAGACTTTAAGGTTGTCTGGGGGGGTCCCCCTAAAGCCTCGATCTCTTGGTTTGAGCATTAGGAACTAAGCAGTAATTCGACCTTCTTAAAACATTTTATTTGGCTCTGTGTCACACTGTGTGTAACTGGAAACACACTGTGTGTATTTACTAAATGGACATTTATTAATATAAAAGTTGCTTTTTGAAATTTTCTAAAAGATTAACTATTAAGAATTTGATGAGTGTTAGATATTTAACATTTAAATCATAGTTTCTCAATATTTTTTTGTGCCATTCACCTTTTCAAAAGTTTTTTTCCTCTGACTCTTTTTAATTCTCCTGCACTTGCAATAATGACATTTAAAATGCCATCTGAATATGACATATTTGTCCTGACTGAAAGCACTTACAAATTTTTAGGTATTTATAGCACTTTATCAAATTATTTATTCAAACTCGTCATGCAATATAGAAACAGACTGGTAATGACTTATGACTGCTCAGAGCATTTAAAGACCTGACAAATAATTCAGAGATTACTACTGCAGCCTGTGTAGTAGTGTGTATTGAAAATGCATGCTTTTTATAGATACTGACTATCACTGTGAGTGTTGACCCATGGTCATGTTCTTAGAATATTTGATTGATAGTTTATAAGTTTGTTCCCGTGGGTCAGAAAAGTAAACCTATGTGAAACATAAAGCAACATAGATCATGTGATAGGATTTAGTATAATTCTTATAAAGATCTGCAACTGTAATATTTTTATGATCAAGTGAATATTTATGTGTTGTTTCAAAATAAATTATCAAATTTTTCAAGTGTGTTCTTACTGCCGATTTGCTTTCCGATGCCTCCTTCCTGTCTCTTGATTCAATAACATTTCTCTGGATTTCGTCAGTACTGTAACATCTAAACACCAGTGTTAGATGAAAGGAAAAGAGCAGTTGTCTTTTAAATATTTATTTTAAAACTTAATAAGAATTTCTTGAATACCACTAAGTAAAATAATCAAAACATTACAGCCATAATACAAAACAATGGGCGCTGGATGCGGCAACTATGCGGATTGTATCTTCTGTCAAGCCTTTCACTGCATAAAAAACTCGCACAAAAGTCCCTCTCTTTCATTTTGTTAAACGTCGTGTCAGAAATGCATTGGAATGGGGTCAATTACTACATCCTTTGTGTCTGGAAACCACACCAGGGGATTTCCGCAGCACCTTTTCTCAAAGTTGTAACTGACAATTAGTCTCTGGACAAAACAGGAAGCTCTTCTCATTAAACAAATGTTTGTCAGAGGTGTGCATATCATTACAGTACCCATCAGTAAGTGATAGATCTACACTGGAAAGCTGATTTAAATTGTGTAATTTCTATATTTTGTTTTATGAAATAATCAGCAAATTGTATGTATAATTATTTATTTGTCACTTTTCTTCAAGGTTACTCATTTGCTTTCTGCTATATCTGTTGCTCGTGAAAAAGCACTGATTCAAGATGTATGCCAACATAATATTAGTAGAAGCTTTTTTGATCAGTTATCCAATGTGTTTAAAACATATAGCGATGGTTATAATTCAGATGAAAACAACCCTGCTGATATTAGAAAAGTTGCCTCATACTTGGAAGCATCATCTCAACAACTGTGTCAATTTTTCCGAGAGGTACCATAGTTGTTTACTTTAATTTTTCATTTTATTTTTTCTCAGCACTGTGAAATTATGAGTTACAGTTTAGTTTTTATGTAAATATTAATTATAATATCATTTAGAAATTTTAAAAGTGTTTTCAAAATGTAATGCAGGCACTAATAATGAAGGTATTCTTAATTGAATTCTGTGTACATGTGTTATTGACTCACAGACATCAAAGCAGGGGGAAAAAAAGCATAACTTAAATGTAACATTTCTGAAAATCACATTTATTTTAATCATAATAACATCACTATTACACTTGGAAGATGAATGTTATATGCTTTTAGTGTGAATTAATGATCTTATTTAGAAGATTAACTTCAATTCACTTTGCTAAACGAAAACTTGTGAAAAACTGACTTTCACTGCTTTGTTGTAACTTATGTTATTTCAAAATTTGATTATTTTTAATAATCATACCTCTTGTTTCCCCTCATACAGAAAAGGTACTTATGTGTTATCCCATTAACTATCAAACTATTTCAAAGAAATGCGATTTAGCTTAAGTTGTGGATTCACCTGATGTAACAAAACACTCATAATATCTGTGCTCTCATTTACTGTAACCTTGATTGATTCTTGATGAGCAGTATTTTGTTTTTGTGAAGAAGGATATAAATTAATTGTAATTGTTTATTGTATAAATTAACTGCTGTATTATTTATGCATTTTGAAAAAAAAATTATTAAAATATAGGACCTACTTTCTATAGAACAATAAGCAGAGGATTATTTTCAAAATTATTATATCTTATCATGAAAAAGTGTGTATTAATGAACACGATATGGTCATCTGTATATGGCCAACAAAACTGTAAAAATTAAGTGTGAAATACTGATTGTTTATGAAATAAAGAAATGTTAGTCATTTGAGAATTCTGGAGGAATGACAGGGATAAATAGAAGGGCTAGCTCATTTCTTTGTTCGACTCCTCGCCGACGCGAGCCTAATGGGGGGACGTAAGAGGCAATAATCTGACGTCACTGTGATGCCACCTGTCCTGATTTCCCGCGTTTCCCCGCGTTTAAAACAGTAGTTTCATTGAGCTGCGAGACGATTTTCTAGAGGTTACATATCATAATTAATTTTAATAATATATATATATCTGTTTTCTAATAATTATATATTTAAAATAATTTATATATATGTAATTTTAGTCAGTTTTTATTTTTAAATTCTATATTGTAAAGTATCGTTTACGTATATGGCTTTTTTGCGCTGCAGTAACGTGCCATAGCACTTACAGAAGTATGAAAGGATGAGATATTTTATTTCATGGGACCAAAGATCCAAATGAGAGTTTGCTTTTGACAAAGAATGGATACACAAATGTCAAAGAGAAGATTCTATTAATGTGAAGAGCGGAAAATCTGCAGCGAACATTTTCTATGCAGTGTTTATAAAGATATGAAAAATCGCTTGTTTGGATAGCCACAAAAAGAAACTGTTGAAATGGAATGCTTGCCGAAAATAAATTATGATGACAATAATAAATCGAAATTGATGATGACAATAATAAATCAAATTTTAATGATTTTGAAATAAAACTCCCAAATGAAAATGTAGATCATCCTGAATGTTTAAGGATAAACAAGGATGCATTGATAATTTGAAGAACAAAATAATATCCTTAGAAAATTGTATTAAATTGTATTAAAGTATTGAAAAATAGAGAAAAGAAAAATATTAGAATGTTTGTTCAGCGACAAAGAAGGTGGACGGCATCTAGACAGAAATTGGTATCAAAATTAAAATCTCAAATAGCGAAATTGGGGGGGGGGAGCACAAATCGGAGAATTTGGAAAAATGTCTAAAGGTTATTTTTATAAAGATGCAGATTAATGCATTACTGAAAAAGAAGAAAAAAAATCAGGTAGACTAAGTGAAATATTATCACGTTGCATCGTCATAAGAGCATCTGTCATCTTAAAGCTATGATTTTTGGAAAGAAAAAAAATTAAGAAAAAATTGGAATATCTTTACCTAGTATTATCAAAATTAAAGAAATGGTGTTTATTTATTTTTTTAGTGCACTAAATTTTAGTGTAGTCCAAGAATTCAAAACGTAATGTTCTTACTCGAAAGAAGGAAAGAGGCGAATAATTGTATTCTGTAGAAAAATGTGCGTTCTCAGTTTCGACGAAATGCACATAGATTGAAAACTCTGCTATGACTCTAAACTGGACTAAGTTGGTTCTTTTCAAAATGTGCAGTTTGTTTTAATCAGATGTCTCATTTCGCGCTCTGCCTCAAATTACTGAAAAACCGCGTTTAGATAGAGGATTTGTTTTAGAAGATGTAACTGTTTTAAATTTTGATATTATTAAAGAGGTTTTAAATAGAGATTGAGAAGAAATCAAATTGTGTCACAAACTAAAACCAAATTATTTAATGGTCAAGGAAAGTGAGAGACAAAAAGTCGCTCCAGAGAAAGCATTATTTTCAAAAAGTATCGCAAAAGGTATACTATACCCCACAGAAAATCAAAAAGCATCTGACTTCTATGAGTTAATCTAATCTTCGGTATTATGAATAGTACCAAAATAATACCAACAATAATAACAAGTATTTAACAAACTAATTTTGTTAAGTACTTGTTATTCTTATTGTATCCTTTGTAACTAATTATTGATTAGATTTTGTGCTAGATTAGCATTCTAGATAAAATATAATAGTGTAAAACATCAAAGTAATTGGCATAAAAAGACCTGCTTCCTTTACTCACACTTTTGAAAAATTAAATAACTGTTTTAGGTACTCTGAATAAAGCTATTTCGTCAAAATTAAGGTAACAATCTTATATACATTTATTTAATTGTAATATTAGATATAAGTATAAATTACAAAATTATTTAAAAAATATCTATTATATTGAATCGGAAGAGAATTTATACACATGTAAAATTTACAATTAGGCAAAAAATCAAAACGTAGGTAGCAGAAAGGTTGCCATATATGTCATATATGTTTGAACCTACGTCAATGTAAAGTCGTTTTTTGAGTAAATTTAAATAGCTACTATTATAGTTATCTTAGAAGCAGTATAAAAATTCTCTCAGTTAGCATGCAAATAAGAAATGATTAGAAATAACGTGCATGAAATAAAAAACCCGCAAAAAAAAAAAAATAATAATAAAAAAAAAAAAAAAAAACACGGAACTTTATGTTAAAAGAGTAGCACATTTTATCTATTATTTTAAAATTAAGTAAGCATTATTAAATTTTTGAATGGTTCAGTCTAAATTGCATAAAGCAGTAACATTGCCTCTTCCAAATTATAGCTATCTTTCACGCACAGCTCATTTTAAACGCTGGTTCAAAAACGCTAATTTCCAAGCTGTGAATTATATTGGTGCGCTCAGTGTCATCATGGCTACGTCATCACTTCTCACTTTCTGCTTCAGGAGGAAAAGCTCTATGAGCTAGCCCTTCTCTTCTAAGTCCTGGAGGAATGATTACAAATTTTGACGGAATCGCTGCCAACTTTCACCATTGACAGAATAATATTTTAGTACCATGGAACGCATTAAATTTTAAAAGCTTTAAGTTTGGTACTTTTATATTCAAAATTCACACGTATATACATGCTTTACAAGCATTTTACTATAAAAAGTATATATATTTCAGGTTTTACCTCCGCCAATAAATACTTCATCAGTTGCAAGTCAGCTTGGATTTACTACTGCTGGACCATCAACAAACAACAATGTTGAAAAAATACATCAATCCAAATTTCATGAATTGTCTGTTGATGAAAAACTTCAGTTATTAAATAAGAAAAAGAAACCTGATGTTACTTATTGGGGAAATCCTGATCTGCAGCCTGTACGTACATATGAAATAGCATTCCTAGTAAAGATTTTCAATGAAATTTCTCAGCATCTGAATGAAAAGGTAATTAAATATGCATGTAAAAGTAGTATGCAATTTATTATTGTTGTTATTATTAAGTGTAAATTATCATAGGATCTGAGATCTATGACATATTTTTTCGTAATAAAATTCAGGCATTAATATCTAATAGTAGAAGGTAGGTAATAAACAAAATGACTGGATTTTAATTTTTACTTGTGATAAGTATGAATTTTTATGTCTTCTTTTAATATGTAGGACCTGAGATTATCAGTGTTTTATACCTCTTATCTCACTAATTTATGGTTAAAATTTTATTTGATCATAGATTTATTAGGTGCATATTTCTTCTACTTTCTCATTTGTTTCACAGTAATAAGTAAGATAAACTACATTTTTATGTTGTTCTTATTAATTGTATTTTATTTAAAAGCAATAAATGCAGATTCATTTCAATTATATGTATATGTGTATGTATATATATATATATGATGTACCAGCTTTTGTCCGGAATAAATAAAATTGGTGAAGAATCATAAATGTAGTCGTAGCTTAAATTATCAGACGATAAGTTTAAAAAACAGGATCCATTTATTATTATTCAGGAGAATTAACAGTTACAAAATCAGATATCCTGAGTAAATAAAAAGAATTACTAATAACTTTTTGTATGAAGTTTACTGCATCGTTACATTTAAGAAAAGCCCCCAATATTCCATTGCGAGTCCTTTTATAGCCTCTGGAAAGGCAGAGCTTCCAAAGAAATGGACGTCAGCCAATCCAGTTCGCTTTAAATAATTCCAGAACGTTCTATAACTGTACGTGTAGAAAAAAGGCGGAAAAAAACAACTTGACTACGGGGCTGTGGATTTAATTACCACGTACTTTCAAATGAGAGAACATCGCCATTAAAAAATGAAAAGAACATACAGTTAGAATTTTAAGTGTATTCTTCACTATGGTAATATTATTGTTACATATATAATACACACACACAATAATAATTAAAGTGGAATACTCCTATTAAAATTCTTGTATTTCAAATTAAATTAAGAAGTAAGAGTTACAATTTGAAGTCTAAATAAATTCCAGTTTCCAAATTCCTATATTTGAAGTAATATTAAAAAAATTTTAAATTTAAAAGTGTTTAAGAAAATTTTTTACAAGTATTAAATAGTAAAAGTTAAATCGGCATTTAAAAATTTCTTTACCAGCAATGGTCCTTAGTAGTGGATATACATAAAACTGTGACAGAAATTGTTAATAATAATTAAAGCCATATAAAGAAAATTATTCAAAAATGAACTACTGAAAGGAAACCAAAATAATACAGACTCCTCAGGGGGAATTAACTTATTTCTCTCTCTCTCTCTCTATATATATAACTGTTTTAAGTGGCCATTTGTTCATGCAGCTGGTGACAAAAAAAGATTTGAGCTTCATTTTGCCAAATTTAAAGTCACAAACTTTTAGAATTATTTTTACAGAATCTATTCTAATTTGCCCTGTATATGCATAATAATTAGCTTAAAATTATCTCAATAATTTTTTCTGCAACAAAAGAAAGAAAAAACTGGGAGGCTGGAAATGGTTTAATTATTGCTATCACAGGACATCTTTATCTTTCAAAGCTTAATATTATGCTACTTATCAGTGTAACATCAATATTATAGTTCAAATTGGAGGCAAATGTAAAATTTTAAATTAGACAAAAAAGCATATTAGTTTCGCCTACTGTTATTTTCACTGCATCATATTATTCAAAATGTATAAACTAAAGTCCCCTTTTTGCCTAATTTTAAATCATTATTATATTTATTTATATTTGTCAAATGCCTTTGAAAAAATAAATAAATAAAAATAAAGGAAAAAATTAAGTCATAATTATGATGGTAACAAAATTAGTATGGGCTTAGCATGAGCAAGGCATTTAATGTGTTTTCAATAAGTGTTTGGATAATGATAGTTAAAGGCCCACTGAATATGCCTTTATGCTAAATATTGATTACTGGAATGTTTTCTTGTTATAAAATTGGAGATGAAGCAAGAATTAACCTGTGCTATTAAAACTTTCTCATTATTACAGAAGAATATTCCAGTGAAAATGAATCATGACATTAAACTTAAATAAATATAAACAATAAAAATTTAGTTAGTCTTACCTAATTTCGTGCCAGTGAGCATAATAATTACAAACTTATAGCAGGTCTCTTTCTGTATTTAATAGATAAATTCCATAGACAGATTTTAAGATCACATTTTCATGTTAATTGGTGTTCTTAAAAAATAGAACGGTTAACTTGCAATAGCTATAATTTATTTTAAATCCAATGAGCTTTTATAAGCATGTAATTTTAGATTTTAAGGTTTTCCTTTGAATTTTTGAACTGCTAAATAACCCAATGAAATGTGCTATTACACATTTACAAAAACACAAGGTATCATATTAGGGGTTGCATCTTAAACATGCATGCTTATTAATTTTAAACAGCAAAGAAAAAAAAAAAAAGAATTATTATTTTTTAACTCAGTCAAATAATAAAATCCTTATTAATTACTTTAAATACACAGTTTTGCATTTAATGACCAATTTTATTTAGAACAAAATTAACTGTACGCCGCCGTGCCTTTTCTAATTTTGCCTCTGCATGCTGTATGAACAGCAGCATCATTAACAAAATAGTGTATTTTACAAGAACAAAGGGAAAATCTTTTCCCCCCTTTTTTTTCCTCCCGCAACTTGAAAGCATATTCAAATTTTCCGTAAAAGCATGTGGTACTCTTATCGCATTCAGATGGAGGAAATGAGCTTTTATTGTTTATCACTGAATATGGTGCAATTATTATGTTTTAGGCATTATTAGTACGCAAAGGCGAGTATTATGCTTCAAAGTTTTACATTGTACTGTACATTTAGTTTAAAGTTTGCTTTTTATTAATGGTCAATTAAAATTTTTATCAATAGTAAACACAATTAATTTGCAGAGTACACTTGGAAATATATTATTGTGTGATCTGCATAAATGAAATAAAATTAAATTTTATGCAAACTGTCTGTAAACCTTACCTGAGAAACTTCCATTTTAGACTTTAAATCAGAAATTTAAAATTTATTATATGCATTTAATTAATTTCCATATTACACAATGTTTAACAACACATTAATACACAGATACTATATTCAACTTTCACATACATATAACTCTAATTTTCATTTATTAATATTATTTTTGTAATATTTTGTGTTCAGCAGCATGTCCTTTCTAGAAATTCTGGATACATCCCTGATTTTTAGGTATCATTCCCAAAAATAGAATGCTTTGCATTGTTCTGCAAAAAGCCTTCAACTGTTCCAAAATGAAAATGATAATGTCAGAGCTGGGGATTTTTTATTCTCTTAATATGCAGTCATGAACTTTTACATATTATCTTTATTTAAGCATAATATTCAGAATAGTAAGCATAACAAAACGCAGCAAGCTCTACAATAGGTGCACTTTGCTGTTCAATAATTTGAAGTAGATATTTCACGTAGTTCATATATTAGCCTTTTCTGCAGCCAGTGTCCTACTAAGTAATTATTACAAAAAGAAGAAATATGTAATGGTTTTAATTAATTAATCCAAATAGTATAGTTTCATTGGATCCAGCTAATGTAATTTCATAGAAATATGTAACCATTTTAATTATAAACCAAAGTGTTTATTTATTATGCTAATTTAAAGAATTATTCCAGTCCAAAGATTCTAGACTTTGAATGGAACAAAAATAACACAGTGAGCTGTATAAAATATTGCAGCTCATTGTGCAATTTCTTTAATATAGCAACTACTTTTAATTATGCTCGAAAAAGGCCTAGAAAGAAGAAAGTGCCTTAAAGAATTTTATTTTTCAGTGCACAAAAGTATCTTATTGTTTACAAATAAATACAGAATACAAAATTTGGATGTATATTTCTTTCCTTCAGACCGCAACTGTGGTTATATTATTTTTGAATCTGTTATCCATGTTAATATTTTCCCTCCTCACAATTCCCCATTCTTCTTCTTCTCGTGAATAGGGATGACTTATGTCTGATTACCGGCAGTCAGTAGTTTTATTCAAAATCTGCTTCAAACTAAAATTGCTGTTTTGCCTAGTTTTAAATTTTACATTTGTGTGATTCTCTTCTAATTTTATTTTATTTTTCATATGTTGTTCTATGTTTCAGTATATATTAGCACTGTTGATATTAGCTCAAACATCAATTGTTTCATTTTATTGAAGAAGTTGTTGCATTTATACATTGTATTTATACGTTTTTATCCAGCCTTTATTTTCGACACCACTGGTTACATGCATATACTTTTGCATATGACCATATATTCATATAAAAATGTTCTTAAATAATATAAATATTTGTTTTGGATTTTTAAATTTAAAAAATCACCTTTTTAAAAATTACAAAATTTAACTTTTTATACATTCCTCTGGCTCTTATACTACTCAATCAAAATTTTTGTATTCATTATAAGAAATAAAACACAAAAATTCTGATTCCCACATGACTAAAATTAACCAAAATATTTAATTTCAAAATTTATGGTATTTGATGTCATTTTCAATTTGCATTGGGCAAGTAATTAATAAATTTAGAATAAATGCAAGTTAATTTTTTTCTCTCTTTAAATGCCATTTAATGATATTCTTTCATAATTTAATAGTGTCACTAATTTATAATTTTGTTACATTTAATATGCCAAAATAATGTCATTCATTTCATTTTAAAGTAATTTATAAGTTTTTAAAATCTAAAAATGGATTATTAATATTTTCATGACAGTGTTATTAGTTTAGAATCATAATCTGGTAATTATACAAAAAAATTCATTGAACTATTAATTCACTTTTAATTAATGCAAATAATACAGACCATGAGTTAGCTGCATGCCTGTCAGTGTTTTGTAAACTGCAAATTCTGCAAGATTTCCATTTTGAAAATTTTTGTATTGACTAATATTTTTCACAGTAATCCGCTTAGAAATGCTCATCACTTTTTCTGAATTGATATTTTATTTTTCAGGCCTCTGAGTACAATTATAATATGAATATATGGTCATCTCAGTCAATTTTTGTTGTTTAAGACTCAAACATTTAAGGTTTTTTTTTTTTTTTTTTTTTTTTTTTTTTTTTTTTTGTGGCGTGTACAAAATTTTCCTAAGTATTGAGGCCAGGGAGGTCATATGAAAAGTAAGGTTATCATATTTTATAAAAAAATGAACTTTTCCTTTAATTGTTTAAAAGCAAGAAGACATGAATCTGTATCATTTAAAACATTTTAGTATATGTCTACAACCAACCGTTTCAAAAATAAAGGCCAGAGAATGGCTTTTGTGAACGTGGTGTGTATTGTTATACCCATACATTATGTCTATGTATTAAATAGCAAATTTTGATGCTAATCAACAATGATATATATATATATATATACGTATATATATATATATATTTTTTTTGTTGTTTCAGTATTCATCAGAGATTCAGAATCTGTATAATCAACCAACAATATGGGGTAAGATGTGCCGAAGAATGTTATCAAAGCCTGTAATTTACTATAATGTTAACAAAGCCAGCAATATGCAGTCTGTGTCCATGGAACCTGTTCAACTGCCACCACGAATTAATCTCCGATTTTTGGCAAATAAGCAATTAATTTTTTATCTGTTCATTCTTTTGTTAACTAGTTACTGGTTTGGTTATCATCCGATTCTCACAATGCTTCTCTTGTCTATAATTTTATTCTTATTTCTTTTCTTAAGTGCTTTAATCTGGCCAGTGCCCATAGGGAGAAAAGATGACTAAATGCATTATAAAGATTTTGAACATTTTTAACATATTGCCGAAGACTAATACAGGGAAAAAAATATATATATATTTTTAGTAAATATTTTGTACTGTAAATAATCATGCATATCTGTATTTTTATGTGTCAAAATAAATTTTATTGTTAGAACTTCAAGCTGTACTTTTATTCGCTATGTGTGTTATCAATACTACTTCTGAAAATTATGGACAAGTCTTATTGTTATTTTATTCAAGGTGAAATACTTTAACGAAATGCAAAGTAATCCTTTAAATGTTTTATCAATAGTGTTAATTACCAGTCATTATTTCTTAATGAACTAAAGCATATGAAAAAGGAATAGCTCATTAGCATCAGCCATGCAAAAATAACTTAACTCCAATGAGCTAAGTAAAATTTAGATAATTAAATATGCACTCATGTAACTAATGTGAACGAATATTATTTTAATAGCACATATATTATTTTAATAGGTGTATTTATGGGTATTGTATATTCTTAGTGTTATGTTTCATGTCATTTGGTTATTGGAAATTATTATTTCCCAAGGCTTGAGAACTTATTTTAATTTTAGCTTGAGAACTTATTTATAAGTTTTTAAAATCTAAAAATGGATTATTAATATTTTCATGACAGTGTTATTAGTTTAGAATCATAATCTGGTAATTATACAAAAAAATTCATTGAACTATTAATTCACTTTTAAATTTCTAAAATTTTTTGCACGAAATTAAAAGTTTTGCATATAGATCATTGGTAAATGTATGCTTTATATCATTTGAATTGTTTCATAGGAATGTTACACTTTTGCAAAGTGTGAAGAAACCTACACTTGAAAATTAACTCCCTCCTATTAGGAAAAAATATACATATAATCCAGAATCAGTAACAGTTGTATCCATTTGTTTGAATTTCAGCAATACAACATCTTGGAATATGCAATTATTCTCTTAAAAGGACTGAATTATGAATGCAAGTTAGCTTTCCATGTTGCCAATTTATGTCCTAAAATAGATATGTCATTTGTAAAAATTCTGAGGAGGGAATTATTGTATTTTTTTAGATTAATTCTCAGGTATTCCATGATTGATTAGTCAAAATGACTGAAAATAATGTCCAAAAAATAGTAATGCATTCCAAAATTTCAAATTCTACTTTATACAATACTGCATCTATTAAGTGCTTGAAATGAAAATTTACGTGAACACAAATTACATACACAATGCGATTCAAAATATTTATTCAAAAGAATATATAGTTAAACAATAATAATAGCATCAAAAAGAATTTTATGAATAAAAAAATGCATGCCATTTTTTGACAAAAAATGCTCTTTTTCTGATATGACAGTTCATGTCATCACATACAGAAATATTAATACAATAATTAACATTTCATGCAAGAAAATGCATTTATAGACTACAGTCTACATATCATAAGCTCTATTCAATTATTTACATTTATGGTTTCAACTTCTTTTCTTTAAGAAAATTAGTCTACATTTTATCTTACTAGTGGCAATATTGTAATCAGTATTAAATACACAGTGATTTTCAACTTGCAAGTCAAAATTCTAAAAATATTCACATTTAATGAACACACAGAAGGGAAAACAGTCTGAAAAAATACCATACGAAAAATATGACTGTCAAAGATTTTATTTGAATATTTTAATGCAGCCAAATCAGATCATATTAATTTCAGAATAATAGTTACTCAATGAAATTATACATGAAGAAATGTTAATAATGGTTAAGGCTTTCGCACATTAATTCCAGCAGATTGTGAAGAATCTTTTCCCTTCATTATACAGTACCTAAATATATAAGATTCATAAAGTAATAAAAATGCATTATTTTATAAATAAGACTAGTTTACACCATTTACAAGTTTTAAAAGCATGAGAATTCTTATAATAACAAAAATAATAATAACAAGAATATACCACTAAAAATTTAAGTTAGTACAATGTATTAATTGATATTTTAAGTTTTATAATAGGATAAATGTTTATTTGTGTGAAGCCGTGGTATACTGCAAATATGTTATATAATGACACTTTTTATGAATAATATATTTTTCTAGAATTTTAAAGAAAAAGTTAAAAATTTGCTTTGCACATAAAGCTTTTAATTTAAAATAAACTGTTTTATCTTATCATATTTTAAATTTCAAACAGCTTATGTTACTAATCATATTCAAGCATACCTATTCTTGTATACATTATAGAAGTACTTTATATTATATTACAGCATCTTCAACATCTTATAATAGTAGCATATTTTATATATTATACTTAATTTATAGTCACTCCCTTCCTGCACTTTTCTGAAATTTTTGCATAGCTTCTGGCACTTAGCAATAACTTTCATAAGCATGCTTTGAGCATAATTTATTACACAACAGATAATATTTAAACGTTCTTACAAACCAATGTTTCAGTTTTATAGATTAACTAGCAATTCACCTGTTCTTGCTCTCAGTTACATTTTATTAGAACTTATATGCATGTAAGTATTTTATTAATATGTATTACAAAGTATAACTTATGTAGTTAAAATATTCCATAAATTCACAGACAGCAGAACTTGTAAAATCTGAGAGGAAATCAATTGGATTTATCTCCTTTATAAAAAGGGGTAACTGTATTCATAAAATATAAATGATGCATGCTTTCTGTTATACAGCACTATATTGAAATATATGTATAGTGAAATGAGGTTCATAACTTCACTTAGAAATCATTGCCAAACAAGCAAATAAAAAGCATATAAGTTATTCTGGAATAAACATAAGGTAACAATTAAGATATATTCAATCTCTAGGTTTATGCTGTCTTTTTACTCGAGCATAAGGTCCAATAGCAGGATCTGTTATGAAGTCCCATATCACTTTGCTCCAAGAACTATGCTGAGGCAAATCATCATAATATTCTTTTGCTATTCTTTTTACCTTTATAAAAAAAAAAAAAAAAAAAAACTTTCAAAATCTATATTTTTTTAGAATAATTATACTAAAAGAATAAATGACGAAATATAATGAGTTTCTGCAAGAAGTATAAAACATGTATGCAGGAATGTTGAAAAGTATATTTAAAAGTATTGTACTAAATGCATTAAAAATAAAAAACTGATTTTTTGGAGGCATGGGGGCATTTGAAACAAACTTCATTTTAGTTGCTCTTTAGAAAACATGTTTTTAAAACTCATTATTTTAAATTTATAATTATTGGAAGTTGAAAAAAATCCACTTATGTGAAAAAATGATGTAAAAAATTTTTGATGTGCAACTCTTGTAATTTTATGTCTTTTGTATTTACAGAAATTGCACATGAAATTTAATATTAATAATCGACAATTTTCTATATTCTAAATAGCAGACAAGAAGCAGTTTAGTATTCCGTTTAAGAGATTAAAAATCCAAAAGTTAATTATTTATGTATATAAAGAACTTATACAGGATTGAGTTACTTTATTTTTAATTTAGTACATTTTACATATTTTACCTATCTGATAAAAATACTCCTTCCCTTTTTCTTTCTTTCTCATGTTTCTCAAAAGATAATCCATTATATTTAGGTTGAAAGAATTAACATGTTTAGTCGGTACATATTGCTTCAGTAAAAGAAGAATCTGCTCACTCTCTTGAAATAAATACACAAACTTTTTTTTTTTTCAGTTGAAATAACAGAAATGAAAGAGGTTGAATTTTGTCAGTTGCCAGTATTCAGGTTGGTGAGCAACTTCTATCATTAATAAAATGCTTCTCTATAGTAATACAATTTAAAATGTGTATGAATATATTCTGTTAATGCTCCATGTTATTTACCATTTTGGAGGTAAAATGTGAAAATTTCAAATGTATAAATAGTAAAATAATTAATCAAATACTGTTAATTATTATTTTATTTTTATAACTAATAAAACTAATTACTCATTTTAAAATAAAACTGGCAACAAATAAAAGTGTAAAAACAGATACAAAGCATTAACTTGAATAATTTCTTACTTCGGGTAGCCGAGATCCAGGAACACTAGGAAAGTCATGATGTTCCATGTGATAGCCTACATTAAAAGTTATAAAGTTCAGAGGACCATAATAAGAATATGTTTCAAATCCTTTTTTGAACATATAATGCTCAGAAATAAAATGCCCAGCCACAGGATGTAGACCCATAGCAAGCAGTGTCCCACCTATCATATATGCTAGTATACGAAAACCTAAAAATAAAGATCATGACATACTTATTATATATATATATATATATATATATATATATTTTAATACTCTAACAAATATTTCTTCATTTTTAATTTTCTGTAAGAAAATTAAAAAAATGTAACAAAATTTTACTATTTCTAATAAATTAAAAAATCTTGATAGCAACCACATAATACAGTATTTAAACAAAAGATTCATTTTTATTTATTTGGAAAATGAAATTTTGTTGCAATGCATATATATCATAAAAACTTGAACATATTGTTACGAATTTGGTATTTAAAAAGCTAATGTTAGTTTAATTATAAATTAAATGGTTTTATTTCTCGCGCAGTGCAGCGCGTGACGAATATTAAAAGAAAGCTAAGCCGAAAAATTAAAAATACAAGAGCGCGTGCGTTAAATAAATAAATAATCTCTTTTTGATTTCGAGAAAGTACTGGAAAATTCTAGCGCGTGATTTTAAAATCTTATAAAAAGAGGAAAACATCTCAGTTTGTAGTAGTTGCTTAGTTTGTTTGTTGTTTAGAAAACTGCCGTTGTTGATTATAGCGAATTCGCGGATTAGCGTTCTTTAGCTGTTTTTGAATTACGTTCTATTGTACATTTAAGTAGTTAAAAGATAACTACTGTGAGATATTGTGATACTGCATGATAATTTGAGAAAATTTAAGCATTTCTGTTGTGATAATAATAAATTTTTTGTTCATTTTTCATCGGACTTGTGCATTCATTTCATAACGAACCCGTACGCACACAACAATTTTTGGTGTCAGAAGTGGGATTTGAATGCCAATAACAAGAGCGATGGAAGAGCAATTAAGGCATTTAATATCAGCCTTTGCCTCATTTAAAGAAGAAATGAAATTGGGCCAGGAATCCCTCAAGGAAGAAATGAAAGCGGCACAGGAACAAAAAATGAAGTTGGGCCAGGAATCCGTTAAAGGAAAATGAAATTGGGCCAGGAATCCGTTAAGGAAGAGATGAAATCTCTTAAAAATGAGATGAAAGCAGGTCAGGACGAAATGAAAAGAGAAATTACCTGCGTAATAGAAAATAAATTTGAGGCTATGGAAGGTAGAATAGACGCGGTTGAAACTAAAGTTGGACAAATAGAAGAGAGAGTTTCTTCCGTAAAAGAACAAGTAGAAGAAAGAATTTCTTCTGTAAAAGAACATATAGAAGAGAGAGTTTCTGCCGTCGAACAACAAATTGATGATAGGGTTTCTGCTGCCGTCGCCAAAGAAGTTGACAGCCTAAAGAAGTGCATAGCGACGGTAGGAAACAATTCTGAAGGTTTCAAATTTTTATCGATGCCTGCTCGTTCCGTTCTGAAACTATCTACATATGATGGGAAGACCTCCTGGCAGGTGTATAGGACACAATTTTCTATCGTTGTGGATGCGAATGGATGGGATTCCCAAGCTAAGGCCTGTCATCTCGCCGCTTCTCTGAGAGCAGACACAGCGGATATCCTCAAGACGCTTCCCGAAAACCAGAGACTAGACTTTGAAGCTCTATCCGGCGCATTGGAACTGCGCTTTGGTGAAAAGTGTTTGAAAGACTACAGCAGGCTTCAACTAAAATCCCGTCAGCAGAGGCCCACCGAAACACTTCAGGAGCTCGCCACGGATGTTGAAAGGCTGTCACATCACGCCTTTTCGGAGTGCCCGACAGAAACAAGAGAAATCCTGTCGCTGCAATATTTTATCGACGGCATCCGGGATCCTGAAATACAAAAAGCTCTTCGAATGGCAAATGTAAAGGATATAAAAAGCGCTCTGTTGTACGCCATGAAATCGGAGGCAGCCCAGCAACCAACTCTTAGAGATCGCTACCCAGTCAGAGCTGTGCGAGTCCACGACCCAGGGGACCAATTGATGGCTCGTTTAGATGATTTATCCAGACAAGTCGAAGCTTTGATACAAAGTAGGAGCGAGAAGAAAAGTGGCTCCAAGGTGTTGGAGATGTGGTAGTGAAGGTCACCTAAGACGGAATTGCAGAACGCCCCAGGGTACGGAATATAAAGCAGATGATTTTACCAGACAAGTCAGTGGCTTGAGATGGAACAGAAGTGAAAAGAAACTGGTTCTAAAGTGCTGGAACTGCAGAGTTGAAGGCCACATACGAAGAAACTGCAAAACACCCCGAGGTACGGAAAATAAGACCATTTCTCAGCAACGACGCAGTAAACAAATTAGTGACCATATCAAGAATGGAGGTTGCCAGATAATGAAAAACCTTGTTTTAAAGCGCTTAAAATTTATACAGTGAGTGACAACAGTAACGGACTGTCCATTAATGGGAATATCAATGGAGTTCCTTGCAATATGATCATTGACACAGGAGCTAATGTTACCATCATTAGGAAAGATTCAGCTGAACAGTTTAAAGATAAACTTATTTGGACGCCATCCTGTGTTACCCTTCAGACTGCGTCTGGTGATAAGATCGACATAACTGGGAAGTTAAACGTAAACATAACGTTTGGAAGTGCCGCCTACCATCACACGGCTTATGTGGCGGATATCACAGATCCATGCATACTCGGATTGGACTTTTTAAGGAAATACAATTTTTCCTTAGACTTCAAAAACAACAAACTGCTTTCAGCATCTGGTGACATGACTATCCATCCTCAGAAGAGATCCTCACTTGGAAATGTCGACGCCTTGTCCAAAAGATCGAGCTCGGGAAGCTGCCGAAATTATACCAGGGTCGAAAAGAAATGCAAGACTACCAGGTATTCTCCATCCCAGAAGCTCTTCGGCCGAGACCTTCGTCTGCCTTGTGACCGCCTGTTTATTCGCCCTACGGATGCGCCTTCATCGCCTGAGGAACACATCCAAGATGCCCAGGCCCGGTTTGAGGGGATGCACCATTCTGCACGAAAGCGAGTCAACTTGGCCACGGAGAAAATGAAGACCAGATGCGACACAAGAGCTACTAGACATAGATCCAACAAAGGAGACAAGGTGTGGTTGTGGAACCCGATTCAACGAAAAGGACTGAGTCCTAAATTACAGTCACCTTCGGATGGTCCATATACAGTGCTGAACACGAATGACGTCGTGGTTCGGATCCGTGAGTCTTCGAACTCTTACGACAGGTTAGCTTATTACTATGGCCATAGTACATAATGTAAATAATTGTAAATAGTATAAGACCATGGTCCATTTTGTTTTTAAATGTGTATTTGATTTGATTTGTATTTAGTATTTGATTTGCATTTAGTATTTGATTTGTATTTAGTATTTGTTTTGTATTTAGTATTTGATAGCATTTGATTTGTTTAAGTTAGTTATTGCATTTATTGTTCATGTTGTTTGATATTGTAATGTAATGTTTATGCCACAGTTGTAAGTTTAGCTTCCTGTCCAGGGATTGTACTGCCCGGGACGTGCAGTCCTTGGGAAGGGGGCAGTGTTACGAATTTGGTATTTAAAAAGCTAATGTTAGTTTAATTATAAATTAAATGGTTTTATTTCTCGTGCAGTGCAGCGCATGACGAATATTAAAAGAAAGCTAAGCCGGAAAAATTAAAAATACAAGAGCGCGTGCGTTAAATAAATAAATATCTCTTTTTGATTTCGAGAAAGTACTGGAAAATTCTAGCGCGTGATTTTAAAATCTTATAAAAAGAGGAAAACATCTCAGTTTGTAGTAGTTGCTTAGTTTGTTGTTGTTTAGAAAACTGCCGTTGTTGATTATAGCGAATTCGCGGATTAGCGTTCTTTAGCTGTTTTGAATTACGTTCTATTGTCATTTAAGTAGTTAAAAGATAACTACTGTGAGATATTGTGATACTGCATGATAATTTGAGAAAATTTAAGCATTTCTGTTGTGATAGTAATAAATTTTTGTTCATTTTTCATCGGACTTGTGCATTCATTTCATAACGAACCCGTACGCACACAACAATATTAATGCAAAAAAAGAAAAGTTACAAAAACATTTCAAAATATTTTCTCAAACCCTAAACCTTTGCATCAGTTATAATTTACAAGTCTTTATTAATTTTAAAAATATTTCTTACACTATATCCATATTTAATCCTTGTATTAAATATTAATAAAATTTTTAAGAATAATTAAATATTTCTTAACATGTAAATCAAAAAGTATCACACTTTTTGATCATAAGCTACCATTTTTGACAGATTGCATGAAAATGTTTTTAATATATAACTTAATAAGATAAATATAAATACATAACTTAATAGTTAATTAAATTCAGTTTTAAGAAATACATTTTCTGTTAGTTTATGCCAACAATAAAAGTGAAAAGACTGAAAAATAGCAGCAACATTATGATGCAAAGCTGGCAATGATTCAGTTTTCAGCAAATCTAAATGTTTATCTTTGATATTCGTAGTGCATTCAACATGATACATGGGGGCTTGTTGCCTTTTACTTTTTTGCATTTTGTTTGTTATCAAGAAAAAGACTAAGTAACAGTAACAAGTATGTCTATCAGTAGTGAGGAAAGAAATATTTTTTTATGGAATTAAAGGAAAAAGTACTTTTTACTCCTAGCTTGGGGGAAAAAAAAAAAAAAAAGAGGTGAGGAGGAAAACTATAAGAGGAAAAAGTGAGCTTTTATTTATTTTTTATGTTCTATCCTAGTTTCAACCAAAAAAGTTGAATAACTATAGCAAATAAAATCTATTGCATCATTTCACAAGAGGAAAAGGAATATTTTTTATGAATGTCAAACAATTATATCTGTGTGTCAGTCTGTCATATAAAAGTAGCTGGAGGAAAATACAAGGTTAAATGAGATTACTAAAAATGAAAAAAGTAAATAACGAGAGAGAGAAAGTATCCTTTATATATGCTGTAAAGAAGTAGAAAACAACTGGAAATTTGGTTAAGTTTTCAACAATCTTTTTTTTTTAATTATATCAATAAATACCATTTCACTATTGTCCTGTCACATCATGTTTCACTAATCATAGTTAAAAACATGAAAACCTAGAAACACATTTAAAATCAGAAGATGCATTTTTTGATAATTTCAGAAACATGTAATTCTATCTGCTAACTCCTAGCTTTCTGCCAACATAATTTAAAGATGAAATGCTTCACAGTTTGAGTGAAGTTATGTTAAATGCCATTTGTTTAGAAATGGAAAATGACTAAGATGTAGCTATCTATTTATGAATGTAATTAATATATCTCATTAGTCACATTTGTAAAATTAATATTAGGATGGAATTTTAAATAAAACTTTGCTAAAAAGCTGCATTTTATATGCTCAGATATATTTTCAAATTTACTCCGAGACCCAAAACTTCAATTTCATGTATGAATAAAACTATTCAGAAACCCTTTGAATATCACCAGTGATCTTCACTTTTTAGTAAAGAATAGTTGTGTAGTAATTGTAAAATAGTAATAATTTTAGTGTTGGTGGTGTCTAAAAAGGTTTCATTTCTTTACACTACAAAGTTAAAGCATTCTCATGCTTTATCATGCAACTTTCAGATGTAGCACAGAAAATACTAAATATTCAACAAAGTAATAAAGCTTTGTTTTTTAAAATAATTAACAGCAAAAACTTGTGTACTGCTCAGATGCTCTGCTAAGTTGTTAATACACAGCTTTTTTCCCCCTTGCACTGAAATATATTGAATAAAGAAAACATTTCTCAATTGTTTCAAATTACTCTCTGTCGTATAATATGATGAAAATTATCTAAAATTTGATAATGATTAATTAGAGGTTTTGCCTTTATTGCAGATATCCAATAAAAATCAATGCAAATAATCAGCTTTAGAAAAAACTAAAACCTTAAATTGATCTCAAATTAACAGGATTTTTTTGCAAACTGCATCATGGAAAAACAATATTAGCCAAGCAGAAACCATACATTATTACAGTTTGAAAGAGAAGAGGTAAAGAAATATAAATTGTGAAACCTGCAAATAGAAAATTCAGATTTAAATACATTTGGCAGCATACAAGAATAATCCGAGTTACAGATTAGCAACTTCAGTCTCAGGTTGCAATCTTTTGTTCAGTTAGTTCTAGAGATAAGTGTCCAAGTGAAGTAATTATATAAGTAGTTCAAGTGAACCATATATTTCAGTTCCTGTATGAATACTAATATCAAAGATTAATCACTGACAGAACTTTACAATTTGCTGCTGGTGATCAGTGTCTCCTCAACTTAATCAATTTTGGTTTGAACAGTAACCCAAGCAAACAAAAGATAGTTGCTTTTTAGCATGAAGTTAATTAAATATAAATACATTAAAACACATTCACACGTATAAATGCAGGTTAAAACAAAGCTAGCATTGCTAAAGTACATTAACTCAGCAATCTGCACATTTCTGTACCACTGCCTACAAGCACAGCAACTCCTGCACATTTTTGCAGCATATCATCTAAGAAGTATTATTTTGCATGACAAAACTATGCATGCTGCGAATGTTTTCAGTTTTATTTATTTTATAAAAATGCATATTCCTCTTGCAAATGAAACATAAATTTTAAATTTCATAATTAACCATTGCCTGATATCTTTGAAAACAACTGTGCATTCAGGGTTTACTTTGGAAAATGTCATATTACTCTTTAGTTTGATGTCTGGCATACTTTTTCTCACTTTTCTGAGCACACAATGCAGTCCTTCCTTCAAACGTTTTTGGCCCACCAGCGGCCGAGCGGTAAAGTCGCTGAACATTGGTAGTTCGGTCCGAGGTTCAAATCCCGCGAACGGGCTGGCTGCATGGGTGTTTTCGTGGTTTTCCCCACGTGTAACATGTATACGAGCCAGTTTCCCTTAGAAAGTCCTCCACGAAGGCATCCCTCCCCTTAGACAGATAGCCCTAGAGTGCTTTGCCGTAATTAAATACACCACACCATACCACACCTTCAAACTTTTTTGAATATATGCAGTTTTCTGTTTAATCTTGTCTCAGAAGTTGATGTAGAGACTCTTGCTCTCTCCTGACAAAAATCTCTTAATCTCAATATCCTAAATGCATCAGAGCTTATTTTTATTGTGCTGTACAATTTTATAGAGAATGTATTAGTGTTTTTAACCATAAAAAAGGATCATACAATAGTTTAACCTCAATATCAGGGATTTAGCACCTTTTAACTACAGATAACAATTGCCAATGCTGACAATGACACACCATCTTAAGCATAATCATGTTAAAAACATTTGGCTCCACAGCAGAGCCAACAGAGTTACTGAACAAATGAGTGATGTCTCCATACTGGAGCCAATGGGGGTTTATCTGAGCTAACGGAGTCAGTTCCATGTGTCGACTAGCTCTGCTGTACCTGCAGTTCAGATTTTTCAACTTTATGGGAAAAAACTGGTTTTGGAGATGACTGGGGTTCCCACTGGAGTTTATCATCTCCAAAACCAGTAAACAAGGGAAAAAACCAGTTTAAAAAAAAAAAAAAAAAAAAAAAAACAGGAACAATTAGCTCAGATAAAGCCCAGTGGGAATGGCCCTTAAGTGTCACATATGACTGGGTCTTGCTAACTGTTAAGCTCTGCCCAGTTATGTTCTCAGAAATAGAGCACCAGTAATAAAGAATAACAAAGGGAGAGTCTCCCACCCCTCTTTCCTCTATCATCAACCACTTAAGAGGATACTTGACTCACTGTGTGTTGTGAGTATCTCCTTGCTGCACACATATTATATGCTTACAAACACCTATGCCTTTCTATCAATATGGCAGTTGATATCACTAGCTATATACCAATCGAGCAGCAAATACTTTTATAGCTGCCTTTAAATAAAAATTACAAAATTCTCATCTCAGACTGGAGAAAGCACATAGTGAAAAGTAAGTGCGGAACTCTCTCACTAGTAGAATTCCCTTTGTAGTTAACTTTCTCCCCTTTAATTTTTTTAACAATCATAAAATTTTTTTAACTGAAAATGAAGTGCTCTAATGTACTTTTATGATTGTGGATTATGCATGAGTTAGCCCCAGTTAAAATGCTTTAAGTAAAGAATCATCTTGTCAAAAAATAAAAGTCTGAAGCAGCCCATTTACTAAATTTCATAACCACTAGTCTAAAATATGAATTGCACAAAAAGTTATTTCAATTACTTACATCCATACGCAAAGTGTCTTTGTCAACTAATTAGGAATTTGAAAGATGGCCGAGTTCTCAAAAACCCGGAAATCAAACTTATGCTGGTTTAAAGGGTCCTTAAAATATAATGGTTTGGATATCGAACTAATCATGTATCAGCACTTAAGTGCAATATCATAAGAAATAAAACTATGAAGAGGAATTAAATGTATTTCTAGGAAAGGAACAGGAAAATGTAACTTGACCTGCTGCTAAAGTCTGGTTTGTCTCATCAAACCTATCCAGCCACAAACTTCACCAACTGTGCAATAAACTTTTTTCTTTTTGAAAAAATTTTGAACGAATATATATTATGACCCCAGTTGAATCAGAAAACAATTAATTTATTTTGAGTAATCAAATGTTTCTTACCACAGAAATAGACCACCAGTGCATCAAAAGCCAACTGAATAATAACATTTATGATTTCCAGTGCAGTAGGTGGCTTCGGATACACAAAAAATGCCCTCAGTGTATAAAAGAAGGGTTGCAAAAGGACCCAAAGTAGCTTTGTAAATGTAGTACAAAAAAGTTTTGCTTCCAGTTTTGTAGGTAGATCTGTATCTAACTTTTCATCACCCTGAAAAAAAAAAAAAAAATCCCAAATATAATTAATTTGTTATTAATTCTTTATTTAAATAAAGCTATGAAATCTCATTTCTTATCAATGGCATAGATTAGTAACTAAGAATTATAATAACAGCAGTTTATTTGCATACCTAAACTTGATAATATTTTGAAATATATAAAAATATATTTAGAGGATTTTCAAAATTACATTTGAAACAGGTATAAAATTAATAAAATTATAAAATATTAAATTATGACAATATTTTTATAAATATTGCAATAATATATCAATTTCCATATCAAGAGTGTGAAGCCATTTGTAATAATTTATAAATTTAATTTTTATGAACTGTTAGAAATAATGTTTTTAAATTGATGCAAAATATTACATGCAAGTAGTCATTCTGGTTGTATTACATCACTAATTTCTATTTATTAAATACAACAACATATCATCAATAAATTACGATGAGTGTTTATATTGCTTATTTATCATTGAAGAATGTAAGAAATCTTGCAAGCGCTGAATCATATTGTTTAATACTGATATTTACAGAGGTGCCTCACATAATGAACATACTCCATTTTATGATGACATTAATAATGTGGGATGCTCTTCTTGAAAGTTACTATGAGAATAATTTTAATCCATTTTCAAGCCTGGTTCAAAATTATGAAATAATATAAAAAAATTCAAAATTTATTACAATTGATATCAGCCATGGAAATGCTAGGAATTTGCTAATTCATTAATATTAAAAAAAATGGTTGATCTTTACATTACGGTAACTTGGCAATTTTTTGGCGAAAATTTGGCGACCAACTCCCCTACAGCAACCCTCTATTTTTTTTTCCCCGCCGCCATTTTGTCTTCACGAAGTAAAGACATGTTTCTTTTCTTCTTATCTACTGAACACTTCTTCCAACAATCTACTAGCCGAATTACACTTATGCTAGAAATTTTATCAAACAAAACTGCTTAATCATGACAAATATTCACTGCAAATTCGGAAAAAGTGCACAATACCATACACCTTACGCGTTTTTCAAAATAACACATACACATAAACCATGTACACGCCGACTTATTTTTACTTAAAAAAAACATCCCAGAATTGCACAAAAATGGCATTGCGCACACTCTTCACTATATCCATGTACACTGCTTTTTATCTCATAAATTAAAAAATTTCACGAAAATACATGACAATTTTCTCAATCTTTAAACCCGGTAAAAAGAACATATATGAAATTACCATGATCGCGAAAAAGTATTTACCCTTTACAAATATGAACATTTCCACATATAAAATAAATAAAATATCCAAAAACTTTTACCTCTAAATCATCTATTACATTATACACGTCACCAACGAACTCATACATGAAGCATTACAATATTTTAGTATCAAATATTTAAATTATTTCCATGCACGTTTATTTCACTTACTTAAACGTAAACCAAATTCCTACAAGCATAAAATTCACAAAATAACTATCATTTCATTAAAATATCACTGAACCATGTACACGTCGACTTATTTTTACTTAAAAAACATCCCAGAATTGCACAAAAATGGCATTCCGCACACTCTTCACTATATCCATGTACACTGCTTTTTTCTCATAAATTCGAAAAATTTCACGAAAATACATGACAATTTTCTCAATCTTTAAACCCGGTAAAAAGAACATATATGAAATTACCTGATCGCGAAAAAGTATTTACCCTTTACAAATATGAACATTTCCACATATAAAATAAATAAAATATCCAAAAACTTTTACCTCTAAATCATCTATTACATTATACACGTCACCAACGAACTCATACATGAAGCATTACAAATATTTAGTATCAAATATTTAAATTATTTTCCATGCACGTTTATTTCAACTTAAACGTAAAACCAAATTCCTACAAGCATAAAATTCACAAATAACTATCATTTCATTAAAATATCACTGACCATGTACACGTCGACTTATTTTTTACTTAAAAAACATCCCAGAATTGCACAAAATGGCATTCCGCACACTCTTCACTATATCCATGTACACTGCTTTTTTTCATAAATTCGAAAAAAAATTTCACGAAAATACATGACAATTTTCTCAATCTTTAAACCCGGTAAAAAGAACATATATGAAATTACCTGATCGCGAAAAAAGTATTTACCCTTTACAATATGAACATTTCCACATATAAAATAAATAAAATATCCAAAAACTTTTACCTCTAAATCATCTATTACATTATACACGTCACCAACGAATTCATACATGAAGCATTACAAATATTTATTATCAAATATTTAAATTATTTCCATGCACATTTATTTCAAACTTAAACCATACACCAAATTCCTACAAGTATAAAATTCACAAAATAACTCATCATTTCATTAAAATATAATTAATTCAAAAAACACCATTTAAAATATACATGAGCACATACATTCAATTAATAAAAATTACCTTACAATCCTAATTACTTTAAACTAAATCATTGCTAAAACAATTTTCCCAATATACCAAATTCCTTTCCACCTTGCATTTCAACAATGCATAAAAATAATTAAAAATACTAACTTACCTAATCTCCTTCAGAATCTTCATTACGTGGCGGATACACTTTTCTCATTCTCTTTCAAATCTTTAAAATCATACTTATCTTTCAAAGCAGATACCAGGTAAAAACAAATAACATAATAAAACATGTTTATTTCTCTCTCACACAACCTTAAAAACATTTCTTACTATCCTTTTCAATACCACTAAATACCCATTTCGAATTAACTTTACTTACGGCCATGAGTCCAAAAATTCACAAACACTATTTCACACAACACAGAATAAAGCCAAATACAAAATTTCCAGATTTTTTCCCGATTTCCCCCCTTTTCCGATTAAGAACCGTAATTCGTCCATTAATATCACATGACATATCCCATGATCTCTCATTTCCCCCACACAAAATAATGCGTAATCGGAACTCAGTACTGCTCACATTATTGCCAAAGTCCCAGGTAGTAACCTTTATCGCCTCCAAAATGTCGCCAAACTACCAGTTACCGTAATGAAAAGATCAACCAAAAAAATTTATATACACTGGTCATCACAGTTAAAGGATAACGAGAAAAAATATGCTCCATAACTTAATGTCCCAATCAATGCCCAATGCTGAAATTATTTATGTTAATTAAATGCAATTAAACACAAAACTGCACTTCTGCACATACATTTGCACCGGAATGGATGCATGCTGGAATTCTGATCTGTAGTGTTGTTTAAAGTGAGTGTAATTAGTATTCAGTAGTTATGGCTCAAAAGCATCATTTAAGGGAAAATCAGAATTGGTGAATAATTGGTAGAATTGATGGACAACAAACAAATTGTCATCCAAGATTTGAATATCCCTTAAAGTGTCATATCAAGAGTGTGAAACCATTTTTTAAGCTTTGGATTCGGTTGAACACCATTAAGGATTTTCGGCTTTCAGAACTAAATATCATAAATATCAGTTTCACTAACTATGTCTGTGAATTTAAGCTTAAGCTCATATTTTTATTTCATTTTTTGGTAAAAGTTACTTATTGAGTGCAAGTTAGCGATTAAAAAAAAAAAAAAAAAAAAAAAACTACTGATATTTATGATATGTTTCTTTTTTTAATCTGTTGACAAATATTATCAACAGATCAAAAGAAAACACATTTTAGCAATTTAAAGCACAAATTTAAATTATTAAATACAAAGTATAGAATATAATAAAAAAATAAAACACGTTTTTCATGAAAACCTGTAAATTTTTGTGCACTTTTGTTCTTCCCATGTAAATAGTAATCTGTTTCCACTTGAAAAACGTAAGAGAACTGCATAAATTCGACATCACACACATCAGCATTATGCATTGACTATCTGCCAAACTCATCTCATCATTGAACACAGAACATTCAACCTTATTCGCAATTCAATTTGTTTTCATGTACCACTATTAACACAAACATTCTCCCCTTTTGTTTGAAACTATAAAAAATATCTATATTGCACATTTCGGCTATTATTACAATCATCCAACAACACTTGAAACAACCAAACACTCCAACATAATGATAGTAAAACTCAGATTTTATTTTTGCCACTTAAAAATATGCAGTTTTACAAATAACATTAAAAAATAGACAACACATAACTATGAGAGAAATATTCCACAATTTCACCGATTCAGATTATCAAAACTAAATAAATAAATAAAGTAGCCAGAATAAAATTATTAGCTAATGAAGAAAGTAAGATTACCAGATTACAATCATTAGCTAATAACAAAATCACCAAATTTGACGTGCACCCAATACTTTGCTTTAGTCAAGTTTTTATATTGCATGTCTGTAATTTATATAATTTGATTATGAAACTAAATAAAATGTGATCTGTGAATATCTCAATGGTTAGCCTATATTTAAGAGTGACCCCTTGGGTTATCGCCAAGTTATTGTTTTTTCATTTATGGTAACCTGAGTAGTTGAATGTTATGGAAACCCTATTATGATGTAATTGGTTGCATGATTGCAGTGAATTTGATTGATGGGAAAAGATTTGTAAGGACTTGTTTGTGTATTGGATGTTGGTGAAGAAGTACGCTGCTATTTTGTGGTTTACATGGTAAAATGGCTAAATGTGGTAAGATTAATTTGAAGTTTCTGAATGATTTGGAACAAAAGGGTAAAAAAAGCACTAATTGACTGGCGTGTAAATAAAGGTTTACTTAGTAGCTATTATGTCCTGTTTATATGAATGAAATGCGTATGTTCGAATGTAAAGATCGTTCAGATGGCTTTGAATGGGTTTGTCGCAAAAAAGGTTCATGCAAGAATTGCCACTGACAGTCCGGCACTATGGAGGATATTTTTTACTCTTATTTTTGTGAATTGTGGTGATGCCAGTATACAGATAAATTTAGGAAGCTTTTGGATACTGTTAAGGAATTTTGTGTGCCACAGATGGAAGACACAGAAATTTCTAAATAAGAGGATATTTTCTTTGTGTAGTGCTTAGATGCTATAAGATGAATTTCATATTTTATGTTATTTCATAGTTTGATTTAAAATGTAGTTTATTGAGATTACATATATTTTGTCTGGCTCTACTCTTATATGCACCCTAATATCACCAATGTGGCGATATGTGTTCTGCGCTGGTTTTTGGCGCAATTGTGTGTTGTATGGCAACCCTGCTGATGTTGAAACATCTTTTGCTGGAGTGGTTTAATTGCTCATTGGTTCGTGTTGTGTGTGTTTTGAAATGGCCTATGTTGCAATGATAGACATGGTGGCAATATTTCAGTCGTGTATTTTAGATTGTGTGGAAAGTAAATTTAGTATTAAAAGGTACGATGTTGGAGTTATTAACGAGTCTTTTGTTCATGTGTGTGTTTATGAGGATTGAAGTGTATTTTTGGAATTTCTGTAGGACTTTTAAAACGGAATTCAAAATGCAGAGCTGCTATGAGAACACGGACGAAGAAGGGCATTTACAATAATTCTTGTGTGGATTTGCAGTCAAATGCTTACAGATAAAGTATGTGGCTGTCAGCAAAGTTTAAGATTTGGATTGTGATTTTTGTGTAGTAAGTTAACTTTGGAGGAAGATTTTATCATTACTTTTGAAATTTTGAATCTCAGAAAGGCATGTGATATAGCAAAATCGTGGCACTTTTGTTCAGAGGCGTTGTGCGACTGGCAATATTTTATTCAGGAATGTATTAAACTTCATTTTATTTTACTGCTTTTATTTTGTAGAATGTTATGTTCATTTTTTTTTACTATGAATTTCTAATGTTATTGTTGTTTTTTGAATTGTTTGTAATTTAGTTTATTTGGTTGACTTGTGTGCAATGCCTAGATTGTGTAATTCACAGGTGTTTTTTGAAGTTTAAACAGAATATACATGGTATTTTTTGAAATTTATTGTTGTTATGTTAATTTATTGAAGCGAGGTGTACGTAGTTAGTAGATTCCTTCGGTGCCTAGAATAAGCAATTCGTAGATGTTTTTTCAAGTTAAAACATATCGCTGTGTATATTTTTGTCAAATATTTTAGGTTAAAAACTTTACGTTTTTGTTATCTAAATTTTTTTTTGTTTCGGATTTTTAGCTTAAATTGTGTTTTTAAAACGTGGTTTTTGCATGTGCGAAAACCGCATTTTTTGAGACATTTTAGGCTTAAAATTCGAAATGTAGACAAAAAATTTAGATAGTAATATGGAGGAGTGGAGTTTCTTGCCAAAAATGTTATAAATTACATATTTGCAACATGAGGTAACATATAAGAGTAGTTCCACTTTTTTTAGGTGAAAACAGGTCGATGTGTACATGGATACCGAGTTTGTGCAATTCATTGATCTGCTATTTTGGTACTGTGTAGCGCCTTAATTTGGCTTTGTGTAAAAACAACAAAGCCAAAATAGCAAGTCAAAGAATTGCCCTAACTCTGTCCATGTACCGCCAAAAAGCATTTGTAAATATATTTCTACCATCTCAATAAATAAACAGTCATGAGTTTTTTCAAAATTTTGCTAGATTAACTGCTGCAAGCTTGGCGGGACCTCTATCAACTTCCCTTACTGATGGAAAAATATGCTGATAAGAATATGTGAACAAAAACAATTTTTGGTACTTTTCCATTTTGCCGACTCAATAGATAAAGTCGCCAAAAATGGTACAATCAATGCGAAATGGAATTTTCTCGCTGGTAAACTTTTTATGCCTCATTTTCAAAACAAGTTGCAGTCATTTCTTATCAGATTGATTCTTTCAATACTGGCACACAATTACATAGAATTTTTACCAGATAGTTCAATTTTATGCCCTAAGGCCATTCACGGTAATTAAGATGCAATCATACTGCCTACCCGAAGGCAAAAATATAAAAAAGGCAAAGTCAAAAGGTTAAATTCATTAACTCTAATGAGAATGCACTATTGAAGTAAAGCCTGCGGTTTCATATAATTTCTGAGTAAGCTATTTGTAAGAATTGAAATAATTCTTGATTTAAACTTGAATTCCAAATTAAGATTTAACTTGAAATTAATGTAGATAATTACTGAGAGAATTAAGACTTTTGTAGCGTAGTTTACGTGAGATGAGATCACTCGGGGTCATGTGATATGAAACGGCGAATCAAGATGTTGTACCATGAAAGCATAGTAAATTCTTAAATTAATGTCTTTTTATAAAATTTTAAACAATATTAAAACTTTTATGCCTTCAAAATAAAAATTTATTAGAACTAACATTTATTAACATTTTTTAAGTTATTCTGTGTGTTGTCCGCAATAAAGTCTGCTCAGCGAGATTTGTGCCAGCGAAACGGAAAAGTACCTCATTTTTAGTACTTCCATATTCACACAATTACCTTGGCAGAGTTTGGAGATTTTTTACAGAAAAAAAAAAAAAGGTGATTCAGTGAATTTTTGGATTGCTACTTAACATGGATATGGTTACCTAAAGAAATGTTATGCATATAGTTGCCCAAGTTTGGCAACTTCTTTCAAAGTGGTTGCTATAATACGCAAGTACTCAGTTTAAAAAACAAAAGTTATGCCTTAAATTATATATCAATCTAGGTTTAATCCTAGTATCCTGAATACATTCTAGTATAGTGCACATGAGATTTGGCTACTTTATGATGAGCAGTAAACGCGACATATACGACGAGTACTCAGTCATTACCCGAATCTAATATCAAATTAATACTTTTAAAATTAAAAACATACCTGATATCTGTGGTGTTCAAGATGATATTTCTTAAAAGAGATCGACATGGGTATGCCAATTGGTAGGTTTGCAAACATTCCAAATATTCGGTTATGCATAGGTCTTGCATGTCCAAATGCTAAATTATGAGATATTTCATGAACTGCTAACCCTAAAGAATGATTTATAACTCCTCCAAAACAATATGCTGCAATGAAGAGTGTAGTAAATGATGCATCCTTGAGCAACCAAAAAGAAATACACTGTGCAAGTACCATAGCAGTAACAACATACTTGAAGTTTGGATCGTAACCCATCAAGTTCTTGATCTCCGGATACTTTTCTATTTAAAAAAAAGCACATAACATGTAGATCGCGAAATTACATATCATCTGTAGATACATACATAAAATACAAAGATCTTATCCAACGTTAAATTAATTACAGCTACAGCAAACATTTTTATAAATGCTCTTCAGTTCAGAAGAACAATTTATCTCGTATACGATTCTGTATCCAGCTTCAGTTACGGGTAATTTATAGTAGCTCAAGGAAAATACAAAAATAATGAAATATGTAGTTTATATGTGCCAATATGCATGCCAAGAGAGAAAGGACCGTAATATCACTTATGTTGAATTTACTGTGGCGCTTCTCTTCCATACTAAGATTTTATTGAATTTTAGTAAATTTAAAGAGGATTCAAATAATTTACATGTCATTATTTTGAATTTTTGAATATGTCAACATCATTCTTGACTTACTTAATATTTCTTTTCTTCTAGTTGCATGAGGCTCATCTGTATAAACCCATTCAAAATCTGATCTAGACACTTTGGCACCCATGTTAAACTCCCAAAACAACAGAAAGCAGCAGGAAAATGAATTCACGTTTCGTTTCCTTACTTTCTATATTAAAAAAATAACATACATAATACTCAATATACAGTAACACCAGTCATCCTGACAATCAGTACCAGCCGGCAAAAGATCAAAGTCAGATTAACTACCACAGCATGTACTTTCAACTTGTTGCTTTTTAATCCTACAGTTGCTACATTCAGATGACAGTTTACATTTTTTTTAAATAGCAATAAATTACTCTAGGATCGCATAAACTTAAGTAATTTATTCAAATATTTTAATAAATTAAGTACTTTTTTGTAAAATATAAAATAATTGTTCGTGTTTATTAAGCCCGGTTGAAACAACTTCTAATATTACTACAGGGAATTACCGCTCGAATTTGATCGTACCGAAGGGTTTGCGCAATTCATTTGTTTGCAGAGATAAAAAAATAACTGTAACTATAACTATAATTTGTTTTTATTTGTAAGTGTCTTATGATGAAAAAATATTCATATACTTCATATGAAGATTCTAAATACGGTAATTATAAAAATTTTGAGAACCTTAAAGGTGCTTCTTTTGGGCGACGTAAAAGACAGTTTCCACCGTACAGTAATTGGACAAAGGACATAAATAAAGTTCACGATAAGAAGAAAACAGAGGCATACAAAGGTACGTATGCTAAAAAGAAAAAAGAAGCTTCTGATTTCCGTTACGGTAATTATCACCAGTATTATGGCTATCGAAACCAAGGTAGTATTGATAGCAGAATTCTGTGCATGAAAAAAGAATGGTTTAAGAGCAAAGATGTATTGGACATAGGCTGTAATGCCGGCCATTTTACACTAGCATTAGCCCGAGACTTTTCTCCGAGTTCTATTATTGGTATTGACATTGATGATGCTCTCGTTAAAATGGCTATGCGGAATATTCGACATTATATTCTCCCGGAAAATATATTAGATGAAGACTTCCCTATTTCTTTAGTATTAAGTTATGGACCTGTTGCACAAGCTATTGATCCAAAAGGCAGATATCCAGCTGGTAATTTTCCTTTTAATGTCCAGTTTATTCAGGTATGCATTGTTCATTTTATAGTTTTAAACTTTGTTTAGATAAAATCCAAGTATTTCATACAGTTCATATGTATTTATTCTATTTTTGTGTATTTTTCCTCTAATTGAAGTTATAGAAATTTAAAACCATAATTTTGTAATTTGAAAATGTGACAGTTTTGTAACATAATGTTTCTGAAACTTATTTACGCAAGGGAAATCGGGGACTGGAGACTAGAATTAAACACTACATTACTAAGACAATGTATTACTCTAAAAGTGTTCAAGAGCAAAAGTTTGTTTAAAAAGTTTAATGAACCTAAATTATATATTAATAAGTAAAAAAATATATGTTTATTATTATTAACATATTTTGATATGTGGTTCGTCTATTAAGTTGTTTGCTGTCACTTAGCAACAAGAGGCCAAAATGTTGATATTTTATATTCTTTAACCTGGGAGCATGCGCCCTGGATCCAAAAGACCTGGCTCGTGTTTTTGAAGAAAAAACTGACTCTTCCGGAAAAAGTGTTAAAGTGGGGTATATTTATGCCAAAATTTTATGATCAAACTTAAAATATATGTAAACTATAAAAATTAAAATTTTAATTTCCATAATATTTTTTATGAAATAAAATATTTTTAATGTAATAGAAAAAGTAGGTACTATTCCGTTTTGAGGACCGTAAAAAATTTGCAGAGAAAATGTATGCGCAAAAGCGCCAAATCTAACAGACGCATACATTTAACAACGCGCCAAATCCAGCATACGCACTGATTTCAGATTGTGTAAGTTTATATAGTTCTATATTTCTTAAAACGCCATTGAAATACTAGTTTCATGTGACAGGTAATTTAATATCCTATGGATTTAACAATTTGGGAATTGCCCATGACAAAAAATCTTCAATAGAGTTTCGGGTAAAGTGCAGAATCACCCACTGCTTAGTGGATTTTTAAGAATTGCATAAACTCGGTATCCATGTACACATCGACCTATTTTCATTTTAAAAAAAAAATCCCAGAATTGCACAAAAATGGCACTGCGCACACCCTTGACTTTATCTATGTACACATCGACCTATTGTCACTTAAAAAGTAAAAGAAAATTGACAAAAATCCAATTGTTTTTACCCTTGTAAAAAGCGGCAAACAAATAAGTCGGTGATTCTGCACTTTACCGAGAATTTTTTCAAAGAAAAGGCATCATTCATTATAGAAAACTATGTTTGAACAACCAACAAGATGAAGTTATGCTTTAGCGATAATTCGGTAGTGAAATAGCGATGGTTTTATGAATTAAGCTTATGTTTAGCAATTTTTATATAAATTATAATATTGATCTGAAATAGTTATTTACTCTTATGCTTCCATTCAGTCATGTTTAGCCTTTTTTATATAAATTATAATAATAAAAAAGAATTATATGAAATTAACTTTTCGTCTAAAAACATCAATCTTAGGTAGTTATTTACTATTACACTTCCTTTCTTGCATTAGGGTTGCCACAATTATTTTTGGCAGCACTGGCATCAAAAATAGTTTGGCGATTTTTTTATGGCCCTCAAAACTGAATAGACCAAAACGTATTATATTAATATAGAATTTATTAGGAATTCATTATATTATTATTCAGGTTATTCAGAAATTATTATTCAGGTTGATCAGGAATATACTGCCTGAAAGAACATTTTCCTCGGGAAGCTTCAAATTTTTCATCAATTGTTATGAATTCACCGACAGTGGCAGTTTTTCAAAATTCTCAAATTTCAAAAAATTTTTCAATTTATGGCAGTTATTCAAAAAATCTCTTATAGGTGAAAGTTTATCTGATTTCTTCTTGACGACCTGAGTTCCTATGTCATCAAAATACATACATCTTGATAAAAAAAAGAAAACGTTTGTAGGACATAGTTTTGTCGACAAATTTCCGAGCTGGTTCCATCTGTTGCCCACAGATCCCGCACAGTTACACGAGATGACTTATGTCACAAAAATAACGCACGAATTTCAATTATAGTTGTGTGACGAGCATTTCTCTCTCTTTCAAAGCTGTCAGAAATAGATGCAATATAAATACTTCGTTTAACTGATGACTTTCAGCAACATTTATTTACTTGGTCACAGTTCCCACGATTAATTTGGAGTCTGCACTTATTTTGCCTTACTGATATTTCCACACAATTTAGTAATATTATTCGTAGGAGTTCTAACATCAGCTTTAGGCTTTTTTTTTACCTTTAGGCTTTTTTTTTTTTTTTTTTTTTTTTTTTTGCAATAAAGCTATAAATGTTATTCTCATTTTCGTTTTCAGAATGGATCTCGATTTCTGAGTCAGTATCTAAAAAATTCATTATAACCTTCATATCAGTTTCTTCAATGGAGTCTTCAACAGTTGATACATGTAATAATTTTTGCAAACATAAAATTTCTTCCTTATAGGATAAATTGCACGAAATGTTTGCAGTTTTTCTGTGCTACCACAAATGAACTACGCTACAGCAAAGCAAATAGGTGCGCTGGGTCTGAAAGACCGATCCGATTAAAACAAAACTTCGAATCAAATTTCCAGCAAAAAAACTTCAGAAACATAAAGAGGATGGCCATCGAGGAGACTACACTGAACCATAACCACTTGGGGAAAATAGGTATGTTTTCAGAAAGGTTTTTTTTAATCTGGTGGCCCAGTGCGCACACGCTCACAATTAACTATAACCTTTATATTAAAAAATAAGTTTTGTATTTATATTTAGTATAGAGTAAATTTCATAACAAATTAAATCATTTTAATCATTGATATATTATATTATATAAAATGTAAAATTTAGCAAAATTGTTTAATTAAATAATACAAGAAATTTTGACACTTTCCTTCGATCATAAATGGTGAAGCGCTTGATGCAGGTGCAGATGAGGCACTTGGAAAATCTCCTGATGTGCCAGTGGCCATGCATCCTTCTTGTCACTTGATATCAGTGTCTTAAAAATTGATCAAACATTAGTCATAATTGCAAGATTCAGACAACAAAAAGCTAAATAAATAAAAAATAAATTCAATGGAGGGTGGAATTGATGGCACTGAAAAAAAGTGGTTAATCTATGGATTATGGTAACTTGGCGAACATTTGGCGACCAACCCTGCTACGGCAACCTGCTAGTTTTTTTTTTTTTTTTTGGATGCCATTTTGTTTTTACGAAGTAAAGGCATTTTTTTTTTTACTCAACATTTTTTTTCCAACAATCTGCTAGCCGAATTACGCTTATGCTAGAAACTTTATGGAACAAAAGTGCTTAATCATGACGAAGATTAGGTGTGAAATTGGGAGAAAGTGCAGAATCGCCCACTGCTTCGTACGTTTTTAAGAATCGCACATACGTGGTATCCATGTACACGTCAACTTATTTTCACTTCAAAAAATATCCCAGAATTGCACAAAAATGGCATTGCGCATACTCTCGACTTTATCCATGTACACATCGACCTATTTTCACTTATTAAGTCAAAGAAAATTGACAAATATCCAATTCTTCTTACTCTTGTAAAAAGCGCCAAAAAAAAATAAGTGGGCGATTCTGCACTTTAGCAGTGAAATTGTTTCTAAGTGCTTATTAGCTAAAATCACGATCGGAATTTTCCGAAAAATGTCACATGATCTCTCATTTCTCTGAGACAAAATAATTGCAATTCGAACTGTGTACTTCTCACATTATTGCTCAAGTCCTACCTAGTAACCTTTATTGCCTTACCAAAATGTCGCCAAAATACCCTATTACCATATTCCAAAGATTAGCCAAAAAGCCTTTACTCCGTGAAAACAAAATGGTGTCCAAAAAAAAAAAAAAAAAAACTAGCAGGTTGATGTAGCAGGGTTGGTCGCCAAAAAATTGCCGAGTTACCATAATCTGAAGATTCACCATATTTTTTTCCGGAAAGAGGTCTTTTATCTTGCCAAAAAGTATGTGAAAATGGCCACAACAGGGAACTATATGTTAATGATGAAACCATTTGGAGCTACATTTTTAAAAATCGTAAACAGAAGAAAGGCTGTTGGAAGTTGGTTTAGTGATTTCAGAATATCATTGGTCACTGCTATTAGATGTATGTATTCTTGGGCGGAGGAGATGGCATATAAAATATTTTGACAAACAACTAACCTTTGAGTGTGCGCACAAGATTCAATGGACCCACGCGATTAAACAAACCTTTTTCAAAGTATACCTATTTTACGCAAGTGGTTGAGGTCCAGCGTAGTTGTGTCTCAGGTTGACTTTTTTATATTTCTGAAGTTTTTTTCACTGGGGCTTTTTGAGTTTTGGGTAAAAATATATTTATGGGTGCCCCTTGACCATAATTGGTGATTTTTGGCGGTACGTGGACACCAAGTTTGTGCAATTCTTTGACTTGTTATTTTGGCTTTGTGTAGCTGCGATTTACAAATCCTACTGCCTGGGTCTGACAAATCAAAAGTTTTTAAGTCTTTGTCTTCTTGCTGCCCATTCCTACCTAAATGAGAAGATTCTTAATATCCCAGCTTCACATCCTTCAGCTGTCATTTGAGGTCGATGAAGAAGGTTCTCTCAAGTTCCGACTTGTACACTGTTTGGGGCGTGACAGATGAGGAATCCTCATCTTGGTCACGCAAATTGCAAGAAATGTTAGTACCTTATAGAATATCAGCATCGTAAGAAATTGTGTTAGGAAAAGTTGTGGATGGTTCAATTTTCTATGAAGCCTTTTTTTTTTTCCTTAGGTGCCACTTGTTTTCCCTCTTTGGCACTATCTTTGGTTGTTTTTGTATATTTTGCTCCTGAGAATTTTTTTTATGTGTGCTCATGATTTCTTTTACCTTAAATGAAATACATTATTACTAACAACTAAAAACTGACATAATTATTCTCAACAGTTCTAGGGCTGCAACCGTGGGCACGTGTGCTAACTAAATGTTTGTGTCTCATTAATTATAGTGCAAACTAGTGAAAGCCAGTATATCCCCCCCTCCAGCTGCTTAGATTATGCCTGACAGTTTTCTTGCACAATGGTCATCATGACACAAAAGTACCTCTCTTTTTTTTTACTTCCCATTTCATACATTGCTACTTAAAACTTGGACTTTAGGTAAAAGCAAAATTTTAGTAAACTATATTTTTTAAATCTATTATTTCACAAGAATAGTAAAGTTAAATTAAATTTAAATAATTATCTTACACCATTGCTGCAAGGAATAAAATTTGAATTTAACAAATATTCTCTATTCATATAAAGCTAATATAAAATTAAAAAATCTAGATATTCTGTGGGGATTAAGTGTGCAATAAAAAATTTTAAAAGAACTGCGGAAGTAGAAAATTGTAAAATGCATTTTCAGTTTCTATAGGGTTCTCTTGTAATTTATGGCTGCAGTTGGATTACAGGTAGAAAGGCAATGAAGTGATATTAGACTACTGCATTCAAAATCGGAGGCCCATTTCCAAGATTTATCAACACCTGTCAAAGATTGATTAAAATTCATATGTAGAAAATACTAATCTGAGGAGTTTCAAAAACTGCGCATTTTTGTAAAGGTAATTTTTTTCGTGAAGTTGTAAGGTTTATCTTATGTTTTTAACAGTTAATTTTGAGTTAAAGTCACTTTCCTATCTTTCTTAATTTCAGCTTACAATTTCCTACCAGAATGTGTTTTTAGAATCGCAGTTAAATGCAAATGAAGGAAGAGCAAGTATTTAAAGTTGAAGCTTTACTGACTTCGTTAGAGAGCCAGAGATTCGGACAAGCACGCGTTCGCCTTTTAGGCTACTCTTTCTAAAGCTATTTCTACACTCGGCTGTACTTTAGGCCCTTGATTGCTTCACCGTTTAATTAGCGTTAAGGGGCCAACTCTTGCAGAATCTTGATAGCTGTGGCTATATCTTTTTAGTTAAGTCCAAGCAGAGGCTTTGCTGTAAACTCCAAGAAGGAGTCAACTGATAAATTTATTTTGAATAACAAAGGGGGATTAACCCTTCATATGTTTACGTTTCTATCTGAACTAAGTGATTATTCGCTTACCAGTTCTTAAGGCTCCTCACATTTAGTTACAACTAAATTCCAACCTATAACTTACAAGTTATAGGTTGGAACATTACGAAGTCAAGGATTAAGCTGAAAATTATGCAGATAATTTTTCAATAATACATACAACACACTAAGGGGAAAGAAATTAAATGCAATATTTTCGGAAAGAGATTTGTGAAAAGAAAGGTTATAAGAGAAATAATTTAAAATGGAATTTAGGAATACTGTGAAATTCTATGTATTTTCTATAACATAGATTAAAAAATCTGAGTTATGTCATTATAAGGAATTGTTTAGTAGTATATCTAATTTTTTTACAGGGAAATTATATTTTATCATCCAGTGATCATCCATACATCAGTGAAGAAGAACCTTATTTTGATACCATTTTATGCTTAAGTGTGACCAAATGGATACATTTGAATTGGGGAGATGATGGTATTAAAAGATTGTTCAATAGGATATATGCACATCTTCGACCTGCTGGCAAACTAATTCTAGAAGCTCAAGCATTTTCATCCTATGCAAAGAAAAAGAAGATTACTGTAAGTAATTATCCTTCTATATTATCTACATTTATGCATAAAAGAGTAATTGATTATTTATCATATACATGGAAAATGGCAGAAATTAATTGGTTGAATTAATATTTATATAATTTAATGAAAATAGCATGAATTTTTCACTAAATCAACAGAATAAAATAAATTCAGGAACGTATATATTTGCCACGCATTTTGGTGATGCTGTTGTAATAATCTGTGTATGTTTAATTATTCATGTTTTCACAGACACACACAGTCAGTCTCCAGATGGTGCTGGTATTGGTTCGTTTTCCCTGTTTATTTGGCTTTTCTTTCACAGGCATAAAAAAAAAATTAGTCGAGAAAATTATAATATCAGCTATGTTATATGGCAGTGTTGCTTAGTATTCCCGTCATTTCATCTATAAAAATCGCTACGAAGATTTTACCTAAGATCCTTATAATTTCTTTTAAGGCTTATTAGATATCTTTTAGCATAATGACAATCAACTCTCTTCAGAATGGGATGTAATTTTTTATATGTGATTATAGGTGTATAGATAATATTTAGGAACATATTATGCTTGTTATAAAAATAAAACACAAAACATTTGACTTCTGTACAGCCAAAATTGATAGTAAAATCAAGAATCACATTTATGGGTTGTACAAAAATTGAAGAGCAAAGTTTTTGCATTTGAATGTAACTACAAATAGATTTGAAATTTGGGAAAAGATTTCTAATATTAAGAGATTATATGACAAGTATTTTCGTGCAGATTATTGTGAAAAATATTTGTGCATACAATTTTTTTAATAGAAGTCTAATTCACAAAATCGTGGAATTCCTATCCTAGAAAACACTAGAGTAACTTCTGTGTTGGCACATAACTAACTTGGGTACTTTTCCGTTTTGCCGGCGCAAGCGATAAAGTCGCCAATAACGGTACAACTGATGCCAAACGGAATATTCTCGCTGGTAACCTTTTACGCATCATTTTCAAAACAAGTCGCAGCTTTTTCTTATCAGACTGGTTGTTTCTTACAATACTGGCATATAGAATACATAGAATTTTTATCAGATAGTTCAGTTTATGTCTAAGGCCATTTCGGTAATTAAGTCAATTGGGATGCAATCACAGCCCTTATCTGAAGCCGAAAATATAGAAAAGGTATAGTCAAGGGTTAAATTCATCCATTCTAATGAGAATGCATTAGCGAAGTAAAGCACTGCAGTTTTACATAATTTCTGAGTAAGCTATTCGTACGAACTGAAATATTTCTTGCATTTAAACTTGTGTTCCAAATTAAGATTTAACTTGAAATGAATGTAGATAATTACTGAGAGCATTAGATTTTTGTAGAGTAGTTTACGTGAAATGAGATCGCTTGAGGTCACATGATATGAACCGGCGAATCAGGATGTTGAACCATGAAAGCATAGTAAATTCTTAAATTAATGTCTTTTTACAAATTTATTTTCTTTATTTATTGGCTTTTTATAAAATTTTAAGCGATATTAAAATGTTTACGCCTTCTTTTTTTTAAAAGAATTCTTAGAACTAATATTTTTTTAATATTTTTTATGTGTATACTGTATGTTGTCGCCAATAAAGTCTGCTTGGCGAGATTTGCGCCGGCGAAACGGAAAAGTACCCTAACTTGTTATATTACTTCCATTGATTAAAAATGGACAATATTTGTATTTTAATGACTTTTTTATACAATTACCGGATTACTTTTCTAATGCAAAAAATCTTCATGAGAATGTTTAAAACTTTTTTAATTTTGAAAACTTCTAAATTATTTATATGAAAATTCTTTCAGCATAACAAATGTAATAAAATGATAAGACACTAATAAATTACAAAACTATATCATTGAATGGCATTTAAGGGAGGAAAATCAACCTAAATTTATTTACTAACTATTATTTGGCCCATAATGCAAATTGGATATGACAACAAAAATCTCTGATTTTGAAATTAAATATCTTGGTCGATTTTTTTTCATGCAGGAGTCAAACCTATGTGTTTCATTTTTCATAACGAATAGAATATTTTCCTAAATATAAGTATACGGTCTGGAGGAACATTATAAAGTTAAATTTTATTACGTTACAAAACTGATGTCTTGAAATTTAAAAAATACCAAAACATCAATCAGTCTTTTGAACAATTAAAACAGTTTTCACTAGAAGTACTCATATATGTCTATGACCAACAGTTGTGAAAATAAAGATCAAATAAGGATTTTTATAGACTTATATATGTAACATTTTATTATATCTGAATTAAATTGACCGCAATAAGTGCAAATATTATAAAAGTGCTAAGAAAAAGGCATGAGAACAAGATTGCAAAATTACTCACTGTACATGATTTCAAAATAATATATGCTGCAGCACGCAACGAATTGGAAGTTGATCTGTCAGCACTATCCTTATCTTCAGAGCAGATATTTTTATTTTATTTGGCTTATAATTCCTTACTAAATGTAGTATTTCATCTCAATGTACTCCGTCTTTGATATGATTTAAATCAAATTCCTCCTCATTATAATTCGCTTCCGAAGTGACACAGAGGTTATTGAAAACAAAAAAGTTTTCGATTGACAAATTAGTCGGTATTCTCGCAACAGCAATTATAGGACTTGAACAGCGGAACTTTGTAGCTGAAGAAATTATGTCTGTTTATAGAATTAAAGAGAAAGTGTTATCACATAAAACGAAGCAACTTAAACAACTTGCATTGAAAGAAATGTTTAATAAAGTAAACAAATAAATATTAAGCTTTTTTTTTTTTTTTTTTTTTTTTTTTTTTTTTTTTTGTAAATTTTGATACCCTTTAGATCATAATTGTTCTTTATTTCATAAATTACGGTTTCATATTTTTAATTTTATAATTTCTGCATGCCATTTTACCAGATTTAAACTGATGATCTATAATCCGGAATTGCCGACGTCCCGACAAGTCCGGATTAACGACTTTTGACCGTATCAACATTTCATTGTGGTTGTATGAAAAAGGGAAGTTTTGAAAACATTTAAAAGTTCAGTCACAGCCTTGACTAGCTAAGTGGCAGAAGCTCATCCAGTTAACACGTGAAGCATATCATGTGTGATGATCCCTGCTTCAGCATGACTGCAGTTCATTGCATTCTTTCAACACACATGTAGTGTACCAATGCATCAAGGAGCTTATATGGAAGAAGTCCCGTTGGCTGCTGATTAGTGTTAACTAGTCTGTCCTGATATCAAACATCAGCTGGCTGGTCTCTTTATTATTTTGATGATGCAGTGGAGTCAGTATGATCAACATTATCTACCATGTTTTCTGAAGTCCAAGAAAAGTCTATTTGAACTCAAGAGCCAAAGTCTATATTTTTGTTTAGGACCAACAAAGAACTCATTCCTTTTTTCTGGTGAAAAGAAACTAAAGAACCCTTTTTGTTATACTATGCTGTTTCAAGATAAAAGTAATTAAAGTTTATCTTTTCACTCTCCCTGCTTGATGTTTTTCCCCACCTGTTGTTATACATGCATATGTATATAGCTTGTTCCACTGTAATAGATAACTTAAAAGCAGTCAGTATTGCATTGTTCTTTTCGATCTAGTGTCATTTATTATTTAGTCGGAACTACTCTGATATGCGCCCTCAAGTCGCCAAATTTCTCGCCAAATATTTTTGGCGAGAAAACTTCATGCTGCCATATTACTATCTAAATTTTTTATATATATTTCGAACTTTAAGCCTAAAATGTCTCCAAAACGCAGTTTCTACACATGCAAAAACTACATTTTGAGCACACGATTTAAGCTTAAAATACAAAACAAAAACATAAAATTTAGATAGCAAAAACGTAAAGTTTCTAACCAAAAATATATGACAAGAATCCATGTACACAGCGACATGTTTTAACTTTAAAAAAACATCTACGAATGGCGCAATGTAGGCAACGAACGAATCTATGAACTACGCACACCTCGCTTTAATAAATTAACATAACAACAATAAATTTCAAAGAATACCATGTACACAGCATCCTGTTTAAACTTAAAAAAACATCTACGAATTGCACAATTTAGGCAACGAACAAATCTACGAACTACGCACACCTCGCTTTAATAAAATAACATAATAAGAATAAAAATTTCAAATAATACCATGTACACAGCATTCTGTTTCAAAAAGAACAACGACAGAAATTCATACTAAATAACCAACGAACATAACATTCTACAAAATAAGAACAAGAGCAAAATAAAATGCACTTACCATGAATTAAGCTTTTTCGAGCAGCAGAAATACCAATTTCATACTGCCTTTAACATGCCGCCACGTAATCACTATCGTATTTACATGACAGCCAGACACACTCCAGAAAATTCATACTATGGTTCACAAATAAATAAAATCACAAATCCCTATTTCTATCATGCACAGCCATTAAAAATAATCTCCCAAACCCTCTTTCCACACCTCCAAATACCCACTACCCCTCAACAGGATGGCCACAATGATATTTCCTTTTGCCGAACTTCAATTCAACAAGTTCTACCTTTCTTTCCCTCCCATCTTCTCAGGCACAGATGCGAATCAACAAGCTCCAGTGAAAGATTGTTCAACGTCAACAGGGTTGCCATAGAACACGCAATAGCGCCCAAAACCAGCGCAGAACATACTCGTATATCGCCACATTTGGTGAAATTAGGGCGTATATCAGAGTTGTACCATTAAGTCTAATACTTTTAAAGTAATATCAACCATATCATATTCTGAAGGGTAATTAAATTTCTTTTTATTTCAGTTATTTAGGTTATTTTCCACACTGTATTTCTAATTCAGTTCTTTGATTTGTTATTTTTGTCTTTCATATATTGTAAAAATGCGTTTCCAGTTATCAGAGATTCATAACATCAGATTTTGCTAGTCTTATTTCTTCTGTGTGTGATATCATATAATTGAATCTCAGTGCTTTCTTTGTCCATTATCCCTATAGTAAAGCATATAAAATTAAA